AAATAAACTTTCAGAACACATTTAAACAAACAGAAACTAACATACATTTATGTACATATCTATCCTGAATTTCGTTTTATCAAAAGCATCAGTAACTTGCACCATTTTTCGTGGTTTTTTTTGGTCACAAAATCATGACAAGACATCACTGCATTTACCCTTTGAGTTGTCATAATGAAGGCAGTGACGCATGTAATACAGGTAGATTGAAAACTTGATAAGGACTAAATATACTGTATCAACATGGAACAAGGTTAAAATAACGCTAATCTTACAGCCACTCCTTAAACTGTGTAAATGAGTGTACATTTTTATTAAAATTTGAAAATCTATACCCGGTTATCTTATCTTCAGTAAGATTCATTCATCAGTTTGAAAATATGTAATTTTAAAGTTTTATTTTATACACAAATAATATATGTATTAACCCTTTCACCACTGTAGACCATAATGGACTCATCCTAATAAATGCATGGTAGAGTCCACTAAAGTTACCTAGGGGTGAAAGGGTTAAACGGGTCGCAACAATTCAAAACTGACTGGTCCCTTTGTTAAGTAAGCTATGACTGGTATATATGTTATATCTACAATTATGATTTTATATTTACAAGCATGCACCTACGATTAGTTTTTTAAAGACATTTGTAGTAAACAACTATAAAAATTGATCTTACCATGGGAATCTACATCACAGGAAATAAATTTGATATGGCCTTGTTTTTCAATTTATAATTAAAACATTAATTACAGGATATCCCATATATAAAGCTCCAAATTTAAAACTTCATATCCTTCAATGCATTAGACTTTAAAAAAAAATTCAAACAGAAAGTCATTTTAACATTTTTCTTGATATATTACATTAATCTTTTGTCTTTTTAAAAGAATTAGACAAATCACAATCCATAATCTTGCATAGAAAAGAAATAACACAAAAATCTTGTTTTCATAATTGTCATTTTGTAAGTCTACATTATTTAGTTTCTAAAAAGAAACTCCTTTGAGTAAACATTGCTCGTATTTTAATCCTCTGAGCTTTCCAAAATACATAAAACACTACAATAAATAACAAAATAAGTCAATGCCTTCCACCCTTTAAAACCCAATTTACTCTGACCCATTACCGTGCGTCTTGTCATTCTCATGAAGTGTACATATAATTTTCTAGATGCTATAAATATGTGAGGTAAATATCAATTGTATGCATGTTCCACTAAAAAAAAAAATTCTTAGAATTTTTTTTTGTTGTAAAAAATAAAAGTTTTGGTACAATGAAGCCTGTCTAATCAGAACACTGAGTATTTTGACATTCTGTCTTATGCGACAAAATGATGTGACCCCTTTTTCTGATGTTTAGAAATATGTTGTGATGATGTCAAATTATACAGGTTTATTTTACTATAGTTTTAACTTTTATAGCCATTTTATCTATTTAAAATGATTCATTGGGGATTGTTTAAATATATTATACATCATATTATTTCCCCAGAAATACATTGTTTCTAAGTTTAAGTAATCAGAGAATTTGTTTTTTTATTAGCAAACCCTTAGCTAAGTGATGAGGATATTGATTTTTTTTGATTTTTTTCATCAGATTCATGAAATCTGTCCTGGAGTTTGAGCTAAAATAGGAACTTTTAAAGCCAGTTTCATCAGAATTCATTCAAAAAGCATACCTGAGTATATGGTTTCATTCCAAATTAAAGAATCTATCAAGAATGATTAAATATCACTTGATGATATAACAAGAATTCATAAAAAATACCTCAAAATAGAAAAAAAAACAAAGAATTGCATAGTAGGAATATTGTGTAAATCGATTATATCTCTCTAGAATATCAGCATTATTTAAAACAATTTATCAACAGATCTATCCTTAGTTAGTAACATGAAATATTTATCAAACTTAATCTATCATAAGAATATCAGCATTATTGTCAACAATTTATTAACAGATCTACCATAGTAATATGAAACATTTATCATTATAACATATTTTATCACATTCAAGCATCAATTTCATCTCTTTGTACTGTTATCTTTCACAGAATACCATATTTTTTACACAAAAATCTTTAAGCATTTAATACTATTACTAATATAAGGTACATGTATTCACTAATGAAAATTTTCACCGAAATTTCCATGAGCATCTGATGCAGTTGTATTTATCAAAAATGAAAAACTTAAACAAGAATATTACAATTGAAATTAAAACTAGCTTTTATCCAAACTGGTTAGAAAAGGTATTTCATTTATTAATAACAGCTAAAAGATAGAAATATTGCAAAACTTCATACTCTGATCACTGTAACCAAGACGGGACACTTTTTAGATAAATATCGATGTACTTTATACCATACTATCAATTCCAAAGATGTTCGTTCATTTTTCATAAATAGATACCATCCACTTTTCATTTCTACTACAAGTTGGTATTTGCGGCGCGTAGTAGAACGCCAAATACTATCGGGGTTACGGATGCCCTTGACCAGGTGTTACTGTACCCTGACACTTTGGTATCTTGGCTAAAATTGGGGAAAAAGCAATAAATATCAGCAGAAAGTTATTCATAGTTCAAATATTTTAAGAGTCAAAGGGTGTTCTTTCTGATCAAATATCTTCTCCAAACTAGCACTAGTTTTTACAAAATAGACTTATGATATCCAAATAAATAGTGTCGCACGGCACGTAAATCAGGAAAGTTCTGTTTTGGTAATTCTTCTTATCTTTAAATTGTCCATGTAACAATAATCAGCAGCCAATAAAGCTTATATATAGACAGTTAAATTGTCATAAAAGTTTCATCAAGTGAAAACTGCATACATAAAGGTACTTCTTTGCATTGCATGACAGTTTCTTGGGCTGTTTCCCCACAAGTGTCCCGTTTTGGGTACTGTCCCGTTTTGAATACAGTGATATTATATGGCACAGGGACAACCTTATATATCGTAAGGTAAAAGTTCAGTTTCCCAACACAATGTGATATATATTCAAGGCATTTTTAGAGCTATTTTGGGAATGGGGCATGTGAATTTTAAAAAGTGTCAAAGTAAACAAAGTTTTGAATTTTTCAAATTATACAGAAAATTGTATTTTTTCATTTTTAAAAAATGTCATTTAAAAGACCATGCATCTTTACTTGTGAAAAATTATTTCATTTTAGATGTTGCAACTCATCTCAATATAAAAATGTAAAAGCAAAAGTCAAATGGGGAATATTCAAAGGGATTTTGGGGAAAATTGTACTATATTCCAAGTGACATGGGGCTAAATTTCAGCCAAAAAACGGCCAAATAAAATGCTCTGAATTTATAAATATATCTCGGAAATTTTAAATATGTATGGAATGTACAAAATTGTCCAAAAATAAAAAATGTAAAAAAAAAAAAAAAAAAATGTCAACATATGGAAAGTAACTAATTTATTCTNTTTTGAGCAAAACTCGAGCATTAATTTTGTATTTCTTTTGTTTTTCATAAAAAATACTGGGTGTGAATCTGAACACACCAGAATGTTGTCTAAATCAAAATTTTGAAAAATGCATACTTGAAAGCACAAAATAATTATAAAACAATATGTAATTTTTTTCAGAACAATATCACAGAAAATCTTTTTTAATATACAGTGAGTTTCTAGAATCCTCTTTTCCTTAAAAAAATAAGCTTAAAAATAAAAATCTTGAATAAAAAGCATATCTTAAAAGGTGAAAACAAACTTTTGGGAGAAATGCCCACTTCCACAAATCGTTAATATCTTGAGTAAATAGTATTTATTCATACACATTTAATATAAACAAATATTTGAGGGGAAAAAATGGAATACTGTGATAAAATGCATTAATGTCAAAATTTACATAATAGGCTAAAATATTGCCATGTCATTTAGCTTAACCAACAGCAATGGAAGGAAAGGAAAAATAGTTGGCCCGATGTTACTGTGTGTTTGTCTGCAAGAACTGAAACAAGTCCAACACGATGACAACATTTTGAAGTCATTATGAGTTAGCACAATATTTTTTTCAGCCAGACCCATGATGAGGTTTTGTACATACCTCCATTTTTGTAAATTGGAGTAATATGGGATTTTTATAGATTTGATCACCAACCCTATTTTTCATGGTCAGCCCCACAATAGCTATCAATTTATTGTTATGCCGATCACCAATTCTCGTAATTCCTGGAAAGAACGCACAAAGAAATGTTTTGTCTTAAAAGTCAGGTGTCACAATTCACATTTATCATCTGTAGTTTTAATTGAAAGCAAAACAAAGAAAATGCCAAATAATAATATTTTGCGATGTCATCAAGATTCTATTAGTTTGTATTCTAACACGGTCTCTGACAACAGCACAACAAGTAATATAATCATCTTTATGCAAACTCTAAAATGTCAAACATTCATGCTAGACCCGATTTATTTATGGAATATTATTTTCAATAAAATTGGAAAATAGTTCACTACAGATATTCTTCTTGACACCAGTAACTATACCACTATGACAGCATTGCATTTATTACCGTTTTTCTTTTGACATAAATATGCTGGTGGTCTTGTATTAATTAGCAGCCAACTAGGCAAAGCTAGTTACGAAGCCAGCAATCTGGCTCTGGCAAGTTCTGTTTGACTTTTTTTCAATGAGTACACACTAAACCTAAATTATTTTTGCCAGATGACAAGAAAAGATATTGATTTAAAAATTTTAACGGCACAATCTACACAAATCTTGGTTTTTGTAAAAGCCTTACGAAGGATTTGGGTTTGGTCAATATGAACCTATCTTGGCAGTTTTATCTGGTATATTAATTTACCTTCTTAAAAATATATTTAATATGTTAGTACACACATCTTGATATGATATAATTGCATATTATCATAATTTCGCAGTCAAAGAATCCAAAAATCGGTTGGAAGACATTTAAGTTTTGTTTTTGATTAATGCATCCCGTTTTAGTAGAAATGAGATAACTAAGGCAGATGGTTAACTTGTTGGTCCAGTGGGTGATGGGTTGTCATAATTCAGTTCTGTGCTCTCGGCCAACTCTATGTTGGAATGAGTTAAAGTATAAAGGGGGGACAGGCAGGTCACGCACTGAAATAAGATAAAACGATAAACACAGGATCACACAATAAAACATAAAATCCAACGATAACAGAGTTTTTGACAGCTATTTTGGGAAAGGGTCCCTAAGCAGGAATTCGGTAAATATCATCTGCATTTGGCAAAAACTGGAAAAAAAATCATAAGTGTTCCCATATATCTACAGGTTCTGGAAAGTATCAAAAGTTTGGAAAAAATAAAACCTGCTATGTGATTAGCAAAACGTTTTCCTCTACCTGTTTCTTACAGTAAAATGTATAGCAATAAATAAACACATCAATTTTCAGTGTTTTTTGTTTCTTCAATTTCAAGTTTTCGTTATTTATGCTTTTTGAATGCTTCTTCATTGATGGTAATACTTTGAATGTATAAACATGTTTTTTAATCCAATTGGGAAAATAAAGACTGAACACACTGAAATAAAATCAAACGAAGAATATAGGGTTAAAAACAATTAAAGACTGTTTATAGCAGCATTTTGTTACCGTATTTAACCTAAATAGGTACCTACTCTTATACATAAGGGTGCCTCAAGGGATTTCAATGATTTAACTCAACAAAATGCTTATTGTAAAATTTCGGGGGGGTTTTCCATTTCAATTTCATAATTTCTTGAAGTCGTCTGCTTGGATTTGTTAGTTAAACTACATCCACCATCAAAATTGTTCCACATCAGGTTTATTGAACTAAAAGTAAATCTGCCATGAAACATTTTCGGCAGATACAATGTATTTAATATCCTCTATATACCACTTTATACCACCTACTGGTAGCATGATAAATACATTATCATGGATTGTCAGTATGAAAATACCCCAGAAGAAGTTGAGAACGACTTCAGAAGAAATTGAGAAGAACTTGAGAACAGATTTTCCTATTTCCCGGCATTTGGAAATGTATTTTTTCAAAAAAGAATGTCTTGCAAGGTGACGTTTTAAACCGGAAGTGATATAAACACAAAAGTGATCTGTGTAAGACTGTCATAAAGTCTGTCATAAACAAGTCAATATCAAGATACAAAAAAATAGTATAAAGATAATAACACCATTTCAAGCGTAAATGTGCATATGGAAAAGCAAATGACGATAGGATAGAATAAAAAATATATTTTTTGTACATAGTTTTGAGGTTCATTGTATTCCTCCGCGGAAATCTTTTATTTGGTCGTCACGGACCGAGGCATTGCGATCGTTGACCATAAAAAAATAATTGAGCTTAGAAAACATAGTGTTTAGTTGACATATTTAAATGGAGAAATGTATAAGGTAGTAGCTAGTATAAAGATGATAAACAGTTTATCATACAGTATTTTCAGTGTTTGTCGTTCAAGATTTCTCTATCGCCCGTAAGACCCCTAAGGTAAATCTGGCCAAGCAGCATGAGCTGATATTGCACCCGCACAAAGGATACATAATAAAGGGGCGGTGTGACATCGCAACTAGCAATCGGCAAGTCATGTGGTAAAGGGAAGTAACTCTTACAAAAAGCTATATACAGTATACATATAACGACTAAGGGAGTGTTTTACATGCATGCAAAAAAACAACAATATCTTTTCACAAATTAACATCATTGCAGTTTAAGGTTGATTTTTTTTTGTGTTTTAAGGTTTCCCCGGCTTCTGATCTGTCCAATTACAAAGACTACAAATGTAACGGAAGACATCCAAACTTGAAGAAAATTGTTCAACAATTAATACTCATAACAAATATCATGTGAAAGAACAAGTGAAGTTCTTTCAAGCAAACAAAAGACAGTCTTCGAAAATTGATCGAATTTCCAAGCAACCTGTATGTTACTGCCGTACCCGTACTTACTGTGCAAAAGTGGCATCAATATCATGCGATAACAATTACCCGACATACCTCTATTATGTACCAAATGTAACGTAAATACGAAAAAAATATGTATCAGTGCAAAAAGACAAATACATGTCTAGATAAACTTGGGTTCCTTCATATTTCCGCATTCTTCAAAAAAAAAATCCTGAGATAAGTAACATACATTAATCTTGTAACAAAGTTTAATTGACCATATCACAAGTTCATATATATACATATATATACATAAATATCCAGAAAACATTCTTATTATACAGTTTTACACCATCACCTAGGATGGAATATAAAGTATGCACAGGTGTAACTTCATACAAATAACAAATTTATACTGTAATGATTTAGACAAAATAAAAGATAGCTCCATTACCATACCATATTTATTCTGCAATAAACCCAGGGTGCCAAAGCATAACCCCTCACTCAAAGTAGGGGTTGGAATTATTACAGGACATTGGAATACCTTTTGTTTGCAATTTTATTGATCTGCAATAGATACGGTTGGGCTTATTTATTGCCAAATAAATACAGTTATGAAGTTATTGATCATTTTTTTTTTTTTTTTTAAATGATTATGGTATCAATTAGTTTAAACATCACCCCATCTGTATAAAAACAATGCCATATAACCTTGATTAGTAAATCTTAAATCAAATATTAATGCAGATACCCTTATCAGATCACTTTTCCATCATAATACTATATGACCTTCGCTGTCAAAACAACACTAAATCAACATCTACCCCTATATTCTATAATATTTCTAAAAAATGGTTTCTACAAAATTAATCTCTGTCAAAATATCTATCTTTACATAATACGCTGATACAAACATTTCATATAAGTGAAAATATATCAAAATGTTCGGTGTAAGGGGGTGTTAAGATTGCAAGATTTGGATAAATATTAAATAACAATTTAATCCAGTATTTTTATGAAATAACTGAAAAAAACATGACACAACTTGAATATACAATATATATAAAAATATCAAATGTCAAAAAAATAAAACCTGATCCTTAATAGTTCAACATGAACTCGACCAAAGTTGATGTGTCGCTTGGCCAAGCAATGATAGCTGACTGAAATTATACCATGAAGAAGGAAAAGATTCTGACACCTTGTAGTGTCAAAACGATAACTAAAACATGCCCCGCAGTGTTGATCAGCTGATCAGTAGAATAAAAGATGCCAGTAATTAATGCCAGTAATTAATTGCGTCTGAGGTTACAGTCGGCCAGTTGAGAGGGCGTCGCCAGAGAGGGTGTATGGGTTACACATAGACAGATCAACCAGTGGGCGTGTCAGCTAGGAGAACAACAATGCATTCACTATATCAGGGGAATTCACAATATATAAATAGACCTTATGGACCCAAATATAGTGTTTAATACAAGACATAATGGGATCCCTCTTGCATGTTAAATACAGAAATGGTCAAACAAAATGTACAGTAACTTGGATTAAGAATCAATGGACATATATGTGTAACAGGAAAGAGAATAGTGCTTCCACCGGGGATTGAACCCTCGATCTCCAGGTTCCTAGTCGGACGCTCTACCACTGAGCTAAAGGGAAATTCCCTCTAGCTCGAAGCTAGAAGGCGACCTTAAACCTATGTACATTTGAACCCTGCCACACTACTCCCCCCTTTTTAAATGTGTTCGCCCTCGAACACCACAACCCAGGTTCTAACTCCCTGTCACTACAGGGAGCGACACGTGCACGGACACCATTTGTAACAGGAAAGAGAATAGTGTGCTTCCACTGGGAATCGAACCCTTGATCTCCAGGTTCATAGTCGGACGCTCTACCACTGAGCTAAAGGGAAATTCCCTCTAGCTCGAAGCTAGAAGGCGACCTTAATCCTATGTACATTTGAACCCTGCCGCATATGTATCAAATAAGAATTTTCTCGGTTAAACTTTGAAATATGTATTTGTTTTTTTGATTTTTCGAAAATGACATTTTTTTTGCAGGGTTAAATAAAATGGTGAACTAATATTGATAATACCAGTGATAATAATAAATTTCCCCAGAAACTTCACACCACAAAGTAAGTAAGTTTTATACATAATAACACTTTTAAGTTCCAGAAATTAAGGCCAGCATAAAAAGTTTTATGAGCAAAGTATTCAGGAAATGAAAACTGTTAATTCATTCACCCCTGAAATTTTATAATGAACTATACCAACCTTTGAATTGTAAGAGTTCAAATGTGTCTTCAGGGGTGAATGAGTTAATAAACCAAAATCAAAAATGCAATCCTACTCGCATTTAAACATCTTAGCAATTGTATGTAACAAGAGCATTTGTGATATGCCTCTGACAGATTGATAATTTGTACAAAAAGGCTATAACTCTGTGTATTGTGAAACATGAAATCCAATTTTAGGATGCAGCACTCTCCTATCCCAAGAGGTACGAACATACAAAATTTAGCATCTTGAGGTGCTCCAAACGAACTGACAAACAATGAAGAAAGGGCCATAACTCTGTATATTAAGGCTGATGACTTGATTTTAGTACACATCGCTTCGACATCCAAAGAGGTACTCACATACAAAATTTGGCGATTCTAGCTAGGTGACACAATATATGAGACATGCTCAATACAAGTGACACTAAATGTAGATGGAAAGAGTGGAAGCCTGTTATTCCTCCACCAGTTAAGGTGAAAATAATACCGGTGTAGCATAACTGGACTGGGTTGAACGTCGGCAACCAGGTAGTTCAATTGGTAGAGCGTCTGTCAAGTTCAAGTTTGGAGGGTCCCGGGTTTCGAACCCCGGTCTGGCCATGCATTTTCCCTCTCCTGTTACACTGGATTACCCCATACTAATGGCGTGATATAACTTTTTAAAGCTTGCTACACCTCTAGAAGTAATGATGAGAACATAATACCCTGATTACCCCAAACTACCGGTATGATATAACTTTATAAAGCTCACCTCCAGTAGTTACAGAAGAAAAAAATAATACCCTGATTACCCGATGCTCATGGCAAGATATAATTATTTAAAGCTTACTGCCCCTTATTTAATGTAAAGATACTATGACAAGCATGCATTTAGTGTTGATTAAAACTACCACCTAATCCCTTTCTGACGGAGAATATATGGTAAGTAAATTGGTGGTTAAATATTTGACAGAGAAAGTAAATGAAGATATAAAATATGTGAAGCCAAGAAAGAATTTTCATGTGAAAATATATAAAACTCCAAACAATATTTTAAAAGCTTCATAGTACATCCTCGTTACTTTCCTCAAGCTGAGCGTTATGAACTAATGTGATAGCTAGCCAGCGGACATACTCTATGTGTTGATATAGGCAGTAGCTTTTACATATTCTGTGGGGAAAACATTCTACCTATACATAATGCGCCACAGAGACCGGTACAGCTTTGATATGGAAGGATTGATACACAATATTTCATATGAAAGAAAGTCACTTACCGGAATCTTCAGTAAAAAGTCACATCCCATTAGAACCAAACAGAACCAAGACTGCAAAAAAACAAGCAAATTAGTGAAATTTATATCCCTCGCTTGCAGGACATATTGTAGGTAAACATTATTGAGGTTAGATTTAAACATGTGATTATCACATACTTATTACTAAATACGCAATTCCCGCCCTATATGATACGACTAAAATCATGTGACCCATATCAGACTGGCCGGTTGGAAAATGCATATCACGTATCAGACCGGCCGGTCGGAAAATGCATATCAGGATTTTCGGAACACCTCGTGACTATTCGGTCCCGAACACATCTGGAGTTATCGTGCCGTTTCTGTGCGGGCGCAGCAGACGAGATTCTATGAAAAAAATGTCGCGTTTGGCTCAAGGTGAGATGATTTTGAACTCGTTGGCAAATAGGATAATGGAGTTATATTGTATTGTTTCTGTGCGATTTCCCAACCGACACACTAAAATTGGCATTTATTCCACATTTTTTTCTAATATAAATCTTCTATCGATGATCTTTGGCGAAAAATTGCTTGAAATTGAAGTTCGTAATTGATCATTGAAAAAAAAATGATCGCCCAAAATTTATGTTCAAGTATATGATAAACAGAATAAAACATAGTAAAATCCATATCACATGCCATATCAGCACTCGACCAATATCAGACCTTGGGCTAAAGCCCTCGGTCTGATATTGGGTCCTCTGGCTGATATGGCATGTGATATGGATTTACCATGTAATATTCTCTATGTATCGTGCTGTTGAGACATAATGTATAGCTTGAAACTCTAAGAAAAATAAGAAGCCTTATACAGAAGTTAGATTTTTTATTGAACATATAGGTATTATGGTGTAAATTAATCGTTTAATCAATCAGAATTTACTAACCTCATTAATTATCCGTAAATATGCACGAATCACATCAGTTGGCAAACTTAGCATGAGTCAGATGTGCATACATTTGGTTGAATTATCTGCACAATATCTACAGCAGTTATCACACGAAAACCAAAGAGTGCCCGAGATGGGTGGAAAGACAGACAGAGGAACACAAACATTGTTATCTAGTTCGAAGGAAATTGGCTAATATTTGCTAGAGTTAATTAAGCGGAAACTGCAGATAATGGCATTTTTCGTTAATCAAGGGACCATAACTTGTAAGGGTTGTCAAACTTGGCTGAGCCCTTAATACGTTGAACCCTGTTACTAAGTTTGAAGACAATCGGATAATATTTGCGAGAGTTAATGAACAGAAGCGGCAGATAATGATGTTTTTCGTTATTCAAGGGGTCATAACTCTGCCAAATGGGGTCCGCTGAAAGTGGCCATCAATCTTGGCAGAGTTCTTAAGGCATTTAACCTTGTTACCAAGTTTGAAGAAAATCGGTTTACATTTGTTGCAGTTATTGCACGGAAACAAAGCGTGACAGACAGACGGACAAACCCAAATTAATATTCCCCATTTTGGTGAAAGCGGGGGATAATAATATAGAGAAATATACAGTGTTTGTAACAGCTTGTGCAGTGTATCACACTTTAATTCATATGGAACTCAGAACAAAATATACAATAATGGTTTGAGGAGAGCACATTTTCTCAGATTCCACAAAACACATTTTATCGTATAACATCATTTCGATCAGTGAATACAACCATGTCGTATATTTTGTGTATGACGTCACGTTTTATGACCAATGGTGACATCACGAAATAATAATGAAATTATGTCACCGACTTTCAGTTTACATTATGATGCCACAATTGAGACGATAGTTAGAGAGCCAAGATGGTGTCAGAAAAGCCAAGGTGATTGAGTTATGGCCCTATCTTGTGTTTTGGGTGTCTGACTACAGTACAAATGTACTTTCTATCAATCATAAGATTCTCTCTCTCTCTCTTTTTATTATTTTCATGAAATAACTTTCTAAATGAAAGAAGTTAATAAATGAAAGGCAAATTAAAAAAAATATCTTATTTATTTTACAACAGATATGAATCAAGTTTTTTCAACTTATATTAACAATTCTTGTAGGCCCGTATAGAAACACAGAGGGTCTTAATGTGGAAGGAAACCACAGAACCCGGAGAAAACCCACATGGTCGGGCAGGTGACCCAAATACCTTTTCATCTTCTGATTGGGGAACTGAACCCCGGCCATCTTGGTAAAAGGTGAGTTTGCCATATACTGGGCCACCTGACCACCACCAACATATATTAACTTTATGGAACGATTAGATTTCTGTTCCCAAACTTACCAGATAAAGGACGAAAAGTAGATAGAGAAATACGATGACGGTTGCGGCGAGGATGATCAACCAATGATGAGGCAGTTCCTGGACATACACCACCACGAAGTAGATGTTGATCACTAAGACGACCAGTGTCAGGAGGCTGGCGATGATTCTCATGGCTCTGGAAAGATCGAACAGCCGTCACTACTTTGATACTCACAAAACAGTTTCATTCATTCACATCAAGGTAATACCGTAGGGTATGTATGTATGTACCAGCAGAAATTTTCTTGAAAAATCGAACAGATTTTTCAGAAAGAAGATTTTTCAAGAGAAGTTTTGAATTTTCTTTTCCATGTTGCTCAGTCGGTTTAAGTTGTTTCTGAACAATAATCATTTGAGTAATCTCTGTAAATACAGACGTCTTTTATACAAATGTGTCTTTAAATATAAATGTCTATATGTACACTAATTTCCTGTGTATTTGCTTGCTCCGTTACATAGTCTGCACCAAAAAAGTGTTTATGAGAAACCAGTTCTACAGATTGCCTGCTCCAGTAGATTTCCCGTGGATTATCTACTACATAATAGATACAGATACACAATGAACAACAATTAAACCTATCACAGGAGTTCCCCTTGCTGTACTAACGCTACCAATGTCACATAGAGAGCCGTGAAAACCTTCAAAAGCGGAATGGGCAGAGCTATACTGCCGAATTTATGTTGGATATTGTCAGCTATGAGAAGGAACATGGAAATTGGGAGAATGGCCGACATTTTGAATTTGACAAAGTTGTTTGTTATGTTTTTGGTTATAATTATGATATCTGCGATCTGTTACTTGACAAACATCACAAAGCCAGAATTTATGCTTTTTTGAAAACATTTTCTCAGATAGCCCACTTCATCAGAAGGCCCGCAGAGGTCATTTTTCGATTAAAAAACACCTGTATAGCCGGCCGCAGACAATACATAAGAATTACAGTAGAGATATTCTGATATACAATTGGGTCTGTATTTACAAAGGTGTCCTAATGCTCATGTGTCTTTATGTACAGGTGTCTTTATATAGAGGTGTCTTTGTGCAAAAGCATCTTATGTATTGATTTATCTTAACCCATTCACCCCTGAGGTCACATTTGAACTCTTCCAATTCATAGGTTGGAATAGTTCATTATGCAATTTCGGGGTGAATGAGTTATTGATTTCTGTATAGATTTGTCTTTATATGCAAAGATGTTTTTATGCATTGAATTGTCTTATTTCACACGTGTATTCATGCATAGGTGTCTTATGTACAAATGTGTCTTAATTTACAAATGTGTCATATATACATATCTTTCCTGTACAAATGTGTCTTAATTTACAAATATACATATCTGTCCTGTGCAAATGTGTCTTAATTTACAAATATACATATCTGTCCTGTGCAAATGTGTCTTAATTTACAAATATACATATCTGTCCTGTACAAACGTGTCTTAATTTACAAATGTGTCGTATATACATATCTTTCCTGTACAAATGTGTCTTAATTTACAAATATACATATCTGTCCTGTGCAAATGTGTCTTAATTTACAAATATACATATCTGTCCTGTGCAAATGTGTCTTAATTTACAAATGTGTAATATATACATATCTGTCCTGTACAAATGAGTCTTAATTTACAAATGTGTCGTATATTCATATCTGTACTGTACAAATGTGTCTTAATTTACAAATATACATATCTGTCCTGTGCAAATGTGTCTTAATTTACAAATATACATATCTGTCCTGTACATATGTGTCTTAATTTACAAATATACATATCTGTCCTGTACATATGTGTCTTAATTTACAAATATACATATCTGTCCTGTGCAAATGTGTCTTAATTTACAAATATACATATCTGTCCTGTGCAAATGTGTCTTAATTTACAAATATACATATCTGTCCTGTGCAAATGTGTCTTAATTTACAAATGTGTAGTATATACATATCTGCCCTGTACAAATGTGTCTTAATTTACACATGTGTCATATATACATATCTGTCCTGTACAAACGTGTCTTAATTTACAAATGTGTCGTATATACCTATCTGTCCTGTACAAATGTGTCTTAATTCACAAATGTGTCGTATATGCATATCTGTCCTGTACAAATGTGTCTCAATTTACAAATGTGTCGTATATACATATCTGTCCTGTACAAATGTGTCTTGATTTACAAATGTGTCTATATACATATCTGTCCTGTACAAATGTGTCTTAATTTACAAATGTGGCGTATATTCATATCTGTCCTGTACAAATGTGTCTTAACTTACAAATGTGTCGTATATTCATATCTGTCCTGTACAAATGTGTCTTAATTTAGAAATGTGTCGTATATACATATCTGTCCTGTACAAATGTGTCTTAACTTACAAATGTGTCGTATATTCATATCTGTCCTGTACAAATGTGTCTTAATTTAGAAATGTGTCGTATATACATATCTGTCCTGTACAAATGTGTCTTGATTTACAAATGTGTCTATATACATATCTGTCCTGTACAAATGTGTCTTAATTTACAAATGTGTCGTATATACATATCTGTCCTGTACAAATGTGTCTCAATTTACAAATGTGTTGCATATACATATCTATCCTGTACAAATGTGTCTTAATTTACAAATGTGTCGTATATACATATCTGTCCTGTACAAATGTGTCTTTAGGTACAGGTGTCTCATTGAATGAGTTCAAAGAAGACCCACAAAACAAATACTAGATCTCAAGCATCTCAGTTATCTTGAATGTCTTAAAAAATTGAAACTGCCAACATTATCGTATCGCTGACATCGAGGTTACATGATGAAGATATTTAAAACCACTCAAGGGATCTACGTCAAGGAGGCAAGCAGATTCATCAAACTGTGGAGAGATGAGACGGCACCACATAGAAGAGGCAGCTGCAGGAAATAATATCTACAATCAAGTTGACAATCAAGAAAACATGCCTTTATACTCATAGTAGGGCGTATTTGGAACAATTTTCCGGATTCTCTGTTGACTGTTTAAACAATCAACTCATTTAAAAACAGGCTAGACAGACACTGGGCAGATCAAGGACGTCAGGGCTCCGATCGGACCTGGGACCCATGTATTTGAGTCCGATGAAGAGGATCTTAGGTCTTGTATCAGAAAAACTCTAAACATCTATATTCCGTCTTTGCGTATTGCAGAGTTATCTTCATTTTGGAGCAGGTATTGATTGTTACGTCACTTGTTTATGAGAGTAACGTCATCAATTTTTGAGAAAACGACGTAATTTTCTCGCACAAACCAATGACGTAACATTCAATACCTGCTCCCAAGAGAAGATAACTCTGCAATACGCAAAGACGGAATAAGCAGATGTGCAAAAGTGTCTTCCTTTACAATGTTTGAAGCATGTCTGATGTTATTAAAATAGCCTGACTTCGCTTTCTGATGTTAACACTTACATTCCGTTGACAAAGTCGCCCATTAGATAGGTGGCACTGGTAAAGGACAGGATCGGAATGAGGGCGAAGGGAAGTTGTAGACTCATCAAAACATTTAGCAAGTCGTTCATTCGCGTCATGTCGCTGATACCGGAGAATATAGCCACGAAAATTGTGGGGAAAATTGCAATGCTCCGTGTCAGCAAAACCCTCTGCCAACGCTTCCATTTTAAATTCAAGAATCCCTTAAATGATACGAGTTGCGTTGAGAATGGTTACAAAATAAATACAATGTATAAGGCATTTTATATTTGAAATTATAATCGCGATATTTTTTTTATCCCTTTCTATATAATAAATGCTGTATCAAATTAATGTTGTTTTCTTTTTTCTTATGTTTTCCATTATTCATCAGGGGTAGTACTTTGTAAAATTACTGCTATTGTAAGTTTATATAAGACACAAGATCTTCTAATCTTTATTCTGTACAGCTAACAAGATGGAACAACTGAAAAGATACAATCTGTCATCTGCCAATGATATTTATTTTTAAATGTTTTTTTACATTAAATATTTGAAAATTTGATGATATAAATTCTTTTTTAGAAATGGCAGATGGAGAGATACTAACAAGCTGTTGATAACATTTGACCAATATAACACTCACCTCCATCACAAACTGACCGGTGTACGTGCCGGTCATTGTAGAACTTTGTCCAGCAGCTAGAATTCCTACAGCCCATATATACATGGCAGCCAGCCCAAACTGACACCCTAAGAACACGCCCTGTAGGGATTACAGAACAAATTATTTATAAATAGATATTGGTTTTTCCATTAAGGCTGACTTTTTAAAAATTTTATTTAGAATTTCATAATCATGATAATGAACAATTATAAAAAATATTTCTTGTAGAAGATTTTAGCAGTAAAATTTATTTTACTTACACCTCTGTAGATGTCCACCTCAAGTGATGAGCTCTGAAACAGGAAAACTCTCACATTTTGAAAACAGATGAATGTGGAAAGTTAGTTTTCTCATAAAGCTTTATGGATTTCATCAAAATAATATATGAAGTAAACCTTTTTTTCATCCTCAACTACAACCTGTCTCATTAAAACTGAAAACAAAATAACCATATTCTGCTTTTCAAAATCATCACCCTCTGATATTATGCATAAGTTTCCAAAGGTTTCTGAACTTTTTTTATTTAAGGTTAAGGGGACCAACAAGTTTAACTAAAGTTTTACAATTTCAAACTATTGTTTTCAAAAATAATAAAAAATAATAAAAATCACAGGTTTCCATGCTACTGACTGGGTTGATTTGTTCAAAACTTAAATGCTTCATTTTTTTTTTATCAAAATCAAAGTGAACTGCAGGGTTCGAACTCAGGACCTTTAAATAATAAAGCCTACACTTAACCAATGCTGCCCTGCAGGAATTTTACAAACGCCACATGAAAATAAGTGTCCAATTTACAAGCCACTAAGCATATAATACTTGTCAGGGGATGATACTCTGAGCAAGAAAAACTCCTTTCAGGAAGAATTAACTCTCTTCTATATAGTAAGGAAGAATACTCCAAGTAAAAAAAAATCTATTTGGAACTCTGTTCTTGATTAAAATTCATGCAGTGGTACCCTTTACCTCAGTTAAATTTTTTGCATTGATATATAACTTTTTAGCTTTTTTTTTCTATTAATTTTCAATTATTTAACATATTACCAGGTATTGGAGCCTGTCACTTTACTACATTTTTGTGTAATAGATGATACATGTGTTGATATCTAATTCACCAAGTACAAATCATCAATAAAACAGGATAATTTACAGGCATTTTATTATAATCTGGTGTGAGAAAAATAAATATTTTGTAACTGTTTTGGACTGGAGATTAACTTCATAGCAAAGTTGCATATACATGTATCTCTAAGTTTGACAATACAAAAAGAAGTGTACCAGGATGTCTGGCTGTTTTCCTCCAATACATGACATCTAAATTTTACAACAAATGATAAGATCTGATAATTAAAGGTATAGCTAAATAAATTAGGTCACATATACTTACATTGAAAATATCAGCATGTGGGTTGTCATTCTTCAAACAGTTGGAATGCTATGGAACCGAAAAAGGAATATTTGTAACCTGATCACTTGACTTTGTAGTGCATTTGTATCAGTAATATTCCATAAAAACCTTTTTACCCACAGAATTTGAAATTCCTCATCTCATAATTTTGATCTGTTTTACTATTATACAATAACATGTGTACAACATTTCAAACTCAAAGACTTGCATGAAACTTCCCAAAGTATAAAAGGAAATGAGAAAATGTTTGCATATCCGTATTTTTAATGTATTGGTGCAATTTTGTGAATTTGTTGAAAATAAAAACACATGTAGTTGTGTATTCTGGGGCAAATACTTAGAGAAAGGAGTGTCCGTCTAAAGTTAGGAGGGTTCAAATCACGTTCTGGCCATGCATTTCCCTTTCTCCAGTTACACAAGCAAGCCTCCTATATCACCTTTTAATAACATTTGTAAGATTACTTCAATTTACTATTATCATATCGAAAACTGTAAAAATCATTTTACTTACGACCTCTGTAACATTCTTGATATTAAATCCCTCGGCAAATACAGATGTCACAAACAAGTTGATGAGAAATGACACAAAGAGTGCAATGGCCGCCTCGATGAAAAAATATTTATTTGCCTCCTTCACTTCCTGCTTCTCAGTTCTGTCCACTTCCCGCGACTGAAATTACGTGGTGAAGATAATTTATGGAAGTAGATATAAGAATGCTGAATACAGTGTAAATTTCCCTTCAGTGTTAACTTCGCTATTTTTCCAATGAGGTAAAATTGCGAATGCAACAAGATAGCAAAGATTTCTTGCCTGTATCTCTAAATACATGTATCTTATTCCGTCTTTGTGTATTGCAGAGTTATCTGCTCATGTGAGCAGGTATTGATTTTTACATCATTTGTTTGTGAGAGTAATGTCATTAGTTTTTGAGAAAACGACGTAATTTTCTCACACAGACCAATGACGTAACAACCAATACCTGCTCACAAGATAAGATAACTCTGCAATACGCGAAGACGGAATATGATTAGGTAAGCAAATACAATGGTATTTTACCAAATTATGCAAAAATAACACTTGGATAAATTGTAGCTCGATGAGTGAGTGTTTACAGAAGTAATGGTCATCAGATCCATACCCAGAACAGATTATTGATTATTGATTGCGCACAACCAATTGATTATCGATAACTGTATTATCAGTTTGAAATGCTAGCTTAAGAATAATTAACTGTTTTTATTTTAATGAAATGAGTCAGTATTTATTCATATTTTCTATTCCTTAATTACTGAACACAAAAGACTCTAGATGACCATAAAACACTTTCTAGTCTGTAAGTTGTAAATCACCTCTCAATAAACACTTACTTTAAAGAAAAGAATTAAACCAATTTAGAGCATTTCTATGCTACAAAAAGGCTAGTCAAGTCACTATCAATTTAGGTAAATATGAGGAAATTGCAACAAAAGTTTGAAAGACACTTTCTTTATTAAATAATTACATATTCAAGGAGCCTCTGTGTTTTGATATTGCCTGTATTAGTCAATCTCATATACTTCAGTTTTAAATTACCTTGACAAGAGCCGAGTGTAGATAAATGTTATGAGGCATGATGATGGCCCCTATGATGCCAACAGCTTGAAGGATCTGTTTTGATCCACATCCGTCACAGTAGGGTATAAATAGTCCTTGCAAAACATCCCCTTGGTCAGGCCTCACGATCACATACTGTCAAACAAAGTCAACAGTGTTAAGGCAACAGGTACTATTGCATCAGTTATAATAATGAAGAAGAGTTCAATTTTATTTTTATCATGACTTGTAGCAATCTGAATACGGAATACGATTCATACGTTTGGTATGAATAATAATGATTAATTTTGTTTTGCACACAAACAGGTATTGAAAACTTATTTTGCGTGCTTTCAAAAACATCCGTTTCCTTTGTCAACAAACACACTTAGCCTTTAACATAAAGAAGTTACTTCCCTTGTCAAGGTTATTTCATCTCTCATTTTGATGCTATGCATTTATTTAATTTCTGGATAGAACATTAAAGTTAAGGATCAGCAGTAGATAAGTCCAAAGGATGAAGACTTTGGTAGCTTTAGAAGAAGATTTTAGGTAGTTACCAAGGTCAAGGTTACCAATGTTATTATTATGTAATAAGGCTTTACCTGGTAACCAAATGTGATGGCCATTGATACGATGAGGAAACCAAAGAAAGCCTCCAGCTTCCGTAGCCCATATTTGTCAAGCAATAAAAATGTGAAGGTGTCAGCAATGGTAATGATTACTCCTGCGTACAGTGGTATTCTGAAAATAAAAACCTATATATTCAAAACGAGGGATTTTTATAATATAAACCTATTGTCGTAAATTGTAATTCTGTAAATATAGGCCAACATTCACATCAAACCACCATATTGTCCATTAATTATATACATAATATACAGCATTTGATATAGCGCCCTATCTAGCTAGAATAAGCCACTCTAAAGGGCTTTACAGTACATAGCTATACAATCAATACAATTAGCATATACATAGATCAATACAATTTTGAGGAATTCGCAGGAGCTGACTAACTTCTAGTCCTATGCCACCTGGCTAATATCTCCCTATGTATGTATGCCTGTGTGTGTGATGGAGATGCAATGTCTTCTGTTTGTAGTGGGACTGTGCTTCCAATGGCATCATTTATAGTGCTACCTCACTTGAACGCTACAGCACAGATACCGCAACATCCATCCCAGACCAATTTATACTCCACCTGCCTGCATGGAAGGTCAGAGTGTTTACCACTCAATCTTGATTAGAACAGTTTTTGTTTTCCACAGAACATTCAACAGAATTTCAAAAACCGTACCTTCTTTTACTCATCAATTAATGTTCAAGGAGAAATCAAGATTTTAGATGATTTTGTTAAGTACATATAACCAAGATTCTTGTATACCCTTGTATACCCTTGTATCCCTTGTATACCCTTGTATCCCTTGTATACCCTTGTATATCCTTGTATCCCTTGTGTACCCTTTTATACCCTTGTATACCCCTTGTATACCCTTGTATACCCTTGTATCCCTTGTATACCCTTGTATACCCTTGTATCCCTTGTATACCCTTTTATACCCTTGTATACCCCTTGTATACCCTTGTATACCCTTGTATACCCTGTATACCCTTGTATACCCTTGTATACCCCTTGTATACCCTTGTATACCCCCGTATACCCTTGTATACCCTTGTATACCCTTGTATACCCTTGCCACAACCTGTAACAAGGGTTGGTCAACATGATACAGTTTGACAACTGGTAAATGCATCATGGGAAAAGAAATATTGTTATTCATATTGCTTCATCATCCTAGTGTATAGTTTCAGATCATGCAGTACTTACTTTCCATCAGACAGAAGATAGAACGCTATAGCTGTTCCAATTACCTCCTGCATATCAGACCCTGAAAATACATATCAAGTACATGATAGCATGGTAGAAATTTCATTTCAACTTGCTAGAGGTCTTGATGTGGGAGGAAACCGGAGTACCCGGAGAAAACCTATGTAGTCCTCAGGTCAACCTCATACCTTTTCGCCAACGATCGAGTAATCCAACTCTGGTTGTCTTTGTAAAAAGTTAGTGTATTATCTGCCCAAATATATGTGAATATATTTTGCATCTGACAAATCAGTTCCTCCATGAAAATTTGCAGAATCCAAACCTTTGGGAAATCTGTAACCACAACACTGAGTTGTCAATGTCATGGTTATATCTTACCGGGCCAGAATCATTTGCTTCCAGAAAATTAGCAGATGGTATACTATAAATTGTGCAAAATTAACACAACATCTTAAAATACTCCCAATTCTATTATGGTCAAAGTGTGATGGTTCCTGCAAATTTGTTTTAAAAGTTTATTCAAGATGCAGATATAACTGGGTTTGGGGGAAGGGAGATTTTTTTTAACATCACCAAAATAATATCATTTCCTTTGTTATTACTACTGCCTTCCTGTGGTTTCTCTCCCTCAGGGAGTGGAAGAAAAATCATACCCTAGGGAGTGAAAGACAAACCATACCCTAGGGAGTGGAAGAGAAATAATACCCTAGGGAAGGGAAGAGAAACCATACCATAAGGAGTGGAAGAAAAATCATACCCTAGGGAGTGGAAGAAAAATCATACCAATTTTTTTGGCAGAAGAGAAACCATACCCTAGCTAGGGAGTGGAAGAAGAATCATACCCTAGGAGGTGGAAGAGAAACCATACCCTAGCTAGGGAGTGGAAGAAAAATCATACCCTAGGAGGTGGAAGAGAAACTATACCCATTTGTTGTGGAAGAGAAATTGGACCCAAGGGAGTGGAAGAGAAAACATATCCATTTGTTGTGGAAGAGAAATTGTTACCTAGGGAGTGGAAGAAAAAACATACTTTAGGGAGTGGAAGAGAAATCATACCCTAGGGAGTGGAAGAGATATCATACCCTAGGGAAGGGAAAAGAAATTGCACCCTAGGGAAGGGAGTGGAAGAGAAATCATATCCTAGGGAGTGGAAGAGATATCATGCCCTAGGGAAGGGAAGAGAAATCACCCCCTAGGGAAGGGAGTGGAAGGGAAATCATACCCTAGGGAAGGGGGAGGAAGAGAAATCATACCCTAGAATCATACCCTAGGGAAGGGATTGGAAGAGAAATCATACCCTAGAATCATACCCTAGGGAAGGGATTGGAAGAGAAATCATACCCTAGCGAAGGGAGTGGAAGAGAAATCACACCCTAGGGAGTGGAAGAGAAATCATACCCTAGGGGAAGGGAGTGGAAAGAAATCATACCCTAGGGAGTGGAAGAAAAATCCTATCCTAGGAAGTGGAAGAGAAACCATTCCCTAGGGAGTGGAAGGAAAGTTGTACCCTAGGGAGTGGAAGAGAAATCATACCCTAGGGAGTGGAAGAGATATCATACCCTAGGGAAGGGAAGAGAAATCACACCCTAGGGAAGGGAAGAGAAACCATACCCTAGGGAAAGGAAGAGAAATCACACCCTAGCGAAGGGAGTGGAAGAGAAATCATACCCTAGGGGAAGGGAGTGGAAAGAAATCATACCCTGGGGAGTGGAAGAGAAATCATACCCTAGGGAAGGGAAGAGAAACCATACCCATGGGAAGGGGTTGGAAGAGAAATCATACCCAAGGGGAAGGGAGTAGAAGAGAAATCATACCCTAGGGAAGGGAAGAGAAACCATACCCTAGGGAGTGGAAGAGAAATCATACTCTAGGGAAGGGAGTGGAAGAGAAATCATTCCCTAGGGAGGGGAGTGGAAGATAAATCATACCCTAGGGAAGGGAGAGGCAGAGAAATCATCCCCTAGGGGAAGGCAGTGCAAAGAAATCATACCCTAGGGAAGGGAGAGGCAGAGAAATCATCCCCTAGGGGAAGGGAGTGGAAAGAAATCATACCCTAGGGAAGGGAGGGGCAGAGAAATCATACCCTAGGGGAAGTGAGTGGAAAGAAATCATACCCTAGGGAAGGTAGTGGCAGAGAAAGTATACCCTAGGGAAGGTAAGAGAAATCACACCCTAGGGGAAGGGGTTGGAAGAGAAAGCATACCCAAGGGGAAGGGAGTAGAAAAGAAATCATATCCCAGGGAAGGGAGTGGAAGAGAAATCATACCCTAGGGAGTGGAAGAGATATCATACCCTAGGGAGTGGAAGAGAAATCATACCCTAGGGAAGGGAAGAGAAACCATACCCTAGGGAAGGGAAGAGAAATCACACCCTTGCGAAGGGAGTGGAAGAGAAATCATACCCTAGGGGAAGGGAGTGGAAGAGAAATCATACCCAAGGGGAAGGGAGTAGAAGAGAAATCATACCCTAGGGAAGGGAAGATAATTCATACCCTAGGGAAGGGAAGAGAAACCATACCCTAGGGAGTGGAAGAGAAATCATACCCTAGGGAGGGGAGTGGAAGAGAAATCATACCCTAGGGAAGGGAGTGGCAGAGAAATCATACCCTAGGGGAAGGGAGTGGAATAGAAATCATACCCTAGGGAAGGGAAGAGAAACCATACCCTAGGGAGTGGAAGAGAAATCATACCCTAGGGAAGGGAGTGGAATAGAAATCATACCCTAGGGAAGGGAAGAAAAATCCCACCCTAGGGAAGGGAGTGGAAGAGAAATCATACCCTAGGGAACCTAGGGAAGGGAGTGGAAGAGAAACCATACCCTAGGGGAAGGGAGTGGAAAGAAATCATACCCTAGGGAAGGGAGCGGAATAGAAATCATACCCTAGGGAAGGGAGTAGAAGAGAAATCATACCCTAGGGGAAGGGGGTGGAAGAGAAATCATACCCTAGGGGAAGGGGGTGGAAGAGAAATCATACCCTAGGGGAGGGGGGGGGATAGAAATAATACCCTAGGGAAGGGAAGAGAAACCATAGCTAGGGAGTGGAAGAGAAATCATACCCAAGGAAAGAGAGGGGAAGAGAAATCATACCCTAGGGAAGTGGAAGAGAAATCATACCCTAGGGAGTGGAAGAGAAATCATACTCTAGGGGAAGGGAGTAGAAGAGAAATCATACCCTAGGGGAAGGGGGTGGAAGAGAAATCATACCCTAGGGAGGGGAGTGGAAGATAAATCATACCCTAGGGAAGGGAGTGAAAGAGAAATCATACCCTAGGGAAGGGAAGAAAAATCCCTCCCTAGGGAAGGGAGTGGAAGAGAAATCAAACCCTAGGGGAAGGGAGTGGAAGAGAAATCATGCCCAAGGGGAAGGGAGTAGAAGAGAAATCATACCCTAGGGGAAGGGGGTGGAAGAGAAATCATACCCTAGGGGAAGGGGGTGGAAGAGAAATCATACCCTAGGGTAGGGAGTGGAAGAGAAATTATACCCTAGGAAAGGGAGTGGAAGAGAAATCATACCCTGGGGAAGGGAGTGGAATTGAAATCATACCCTAGGGAAGGGAAGAAAAATCCCTCCCTAGGGAAGGGAGTGGAAGAGAAAACATACCCAAGGGAAGGGAGTAGAAGAGAAATCATACCCTAGGGAAGCGAGTGGAATAGAAATCATACCCTAGGGGAAGGGAGTGGAAGGAGTGGAAGAGATATCATACCCTAGGGAGTGGAAGAGATATCATACCCTAGGGAGTGGAAGAGATATCATACCCTAGGGAAGGGAAGAGAAATCACCCCCTAGGGAAGGGAGTGGAAGAGAAACCATACCCTAGGGGAAGGGAGTGGAAAGAAATCATACCCTAGGGAAGGAAGTGGCAGAGAAAGTATACCCTAGGAAAGGGAGGGGCAGAGAAATCATACCCTAGGGGCAGGGAGTGGAAAGAAATCATACCCTAGGGAAGGAAGTGGCAGAGAAAGTATACCCTAGGGAAGGGAAGAGAAATCACCCCCTAGGGAAGGGAGTGGAAGAGAATTCATACCCAAAGAAAGGGAGTGGAACAGAAATCATACCCTAGGGAAGCGAGTAGAAGAGAAAGCATACCCTAGGGGAAGGGAGTGGAATAGAAATCATACCCTAGGGGAAGGGAGCGGAAAGAAATCATACCCTAGGGAAGGGAGGAAAAATCCCACCCTAGGGAAGGGAGTGGAAGAGAAATCATACCCAAGGAAAGAGAGTGGAAGAGAAATCATACCCTAGAGAAGGGAAGAGAAATCATACCCAAGGGGAGGGAGTGGAAGAAAAATCATACCCTAGGGAAGGGAGTGGAAGAGAAAACATACCCAAGGGAAGGGAGTAGAAGAGAAATCATACCCTAGGGAAGGGAGTAGAAGAGAAAGCATACCCTAGGGAAGGGAGTGGAAGAGAATTCATACCCAAAGAAAGGGAGTGGAACAGAAATCATACCCTAGGGAAGCGAGTAGAAGAGAAAGCATACCCTAGGGGAAGGGAGTGGAAGAGAAATCATACCCTAGGGAGGGGAGTGGAAGAGAAATCATACCCTAGGGAAGGAAGTGGAAGAGAAATCATCCCCTAGGGAAGGGAGTGGAAGAGAAATTATACCCTAGGAAAGGGAGTGTAAGAGAAATCATACTCTAGGGAAGGGAGTGGAAGAGAAATCATACCCTAGGGAAGGGAGTGGAAGAGAAATTATACCCTAGGAAAGGGAGTGGAAGAGAAATCATACTCTAGGGAAGGGAGTGGAAGAGAAAGCATACCCTAGGGAAGGGAGTGGAAGAGAAATCATACTCTAGGGGAAGGGAGTAGAAGAGAAATCATACTCTAGGGGAAGGGAGTAGAAGAGAAAGCATACCCTAGGGAAGCGAGTGGAAGAGAAATCATACCCTAGGGAAGGGAGTGGCAGATAAATCATACCCTAGGGGAAGGGAGGGGAAAGAAATCATACCCTAGGGAAGGTAGTGGCAGAGAAAGAATACCCTAGGGAAGGGAAGAGAAGAGAAATCATACCCTAGGGGAAGGGAGAGGAAGAGAAATCATACCCTAGGGGAGGGAGTAGAAGAGAAATCATTCCCTAGGGGAAGGGAGTGGAAGAGAAATCATGCTCTAGCCAGCTGAGTGGAAGAGAAATCATACCCTGAGAAATCATACCCTAGGGGAAGGGAGGGGAAAGAAATCATACCCTAGGGAAGGTAGTGGCAGAGAAAGTATACCCTAGGAAAGGGAGGGGCAGAGAAATCATACCCTAGGGGAAGGGAGTGGAAGAGAAATCATACCCTAGGGAAAGGAGTGGAAGAGAAATCATACCCTAGGGAATGGAGTGGAAGAGAAATCATACCCTAGGGAAGGGAGTAGAATAGAAATCATACCCTAGGGGAAGGGAGTGGAAGAGAAATCATACCCTAGGGGAGGGAGTAGAAGAGAAATCATACCCTAGGGAAGGGAGTGGAAGAAAAATCATACCCTAGGGAATGGAAGAGAAATCATACCCAAGGGAAGGGAGTGGAAGAGAAATCATACCCTAGGGAAGGGAAGAGAAATCATACCCAAGGGGAGGGAGTGGAAGAAAAATCATACCCTAGGGAAAGGAAGAGAAATCATACCCAAGAGAAGGGAGTGGAAGAGAAATCATACCCTAGGGAAGGGAGTAGAAGAGAAATCATACCCTAGGTGGTGACAGAAGAATACTGAACAGGAAAAACAGGAGATAATTCTGTGAATGAAGGCAGATATTCACCAGAGCCGAGGATAGGATTTCTTTATGTATAATTATTTGGGTGATCAATATAATAGAAGCACACAAACAGGCAACAGCCAGACTCAGGGATTCAAATTCTAAGCTCCAAACTGTTGATTTAGTATTTTCTTACGAACAGAGCTACACCGATAATTACAAACTATATTCATTTTAAAACAATTACGAAACAAATTAAATACATTCACATTAAGTAATCACTCTTGCTGGCCGGATGGTAGAAAGTTGGAGTAATTATGTGAAAGCAAATATGAGTTCCCGAAGAAAACCCACGTGGCTGGTTAGGTGACCCCATACTCTTTAACAGGGTCAGGGAATCGATTCTCGGACGTGTTAGTGAAAGGAGAGTGCCCTATCCACTGTGACAACTGACCACCCAAACTATACAGCAATATTCTACGATTTAACAGAAATATCCCAGAATTCCTTACCTATGATTGCTATTTCCACCATGATCCAGAGGACGAGGCGTGGGACCTTGGGATACTGTGTGTAACACACTTCAGCCAGGTGCATTCCTGTGACAACGCCAAGTCTGGCCGACAGACGCTGCATGAGCAGGCCCAGGATCGTGGCTGACATGAGTACCCATAGCAGCTGTAAATAGAGTTCCATGAATACAGACAATTAATGAATACATCCTTCTGTATTATATAATTACAAAAGCTTAGTGGAGCCAGACGAAAAAATGTATGTGTTTCCTGTAACATGTTGAAAATTGTTTAGGGTAGGTAGATAATAAATAATTCTATATGGTTTATATTAGGAGAGTTGTCAAGACTTTAACAGTGCTTCTTTGAAAATTGCCTAAAAATTTAGGGTAAGCACAAAAATTTAGGGTAGGTAGGATGAAATGAAACACCAATTATTTTTTGTTTGGCCTGGGATTAAGTGAACTATAAAATGATTAATTAAATTCATTTTGCTTCAAAATTATGATAATTTTGTATGGTCTTATCAACAACATTTTGCCTTCCTGACACTTATATTGAGGAATTTAAAAGAAATCCTCATCTATATAAAATATCTTTGTCCCCAATTTCTTCAGGAAATTGATGTGCTTGGATTGAAAAAAATCCACTATTGACAACAACTTACTCTAAATCCAGCAACTGAACCCGCCTGGAGATCAGACTCGATATTTCCAGGATCGAGGTAGGCAATGCTCATCAGAAAGCCGGGGCCGGTAAATGCCCAGAGCTTTCGAAAACTGAACAACTCCTGATGAAAAATATAATCTGAGTTATTTCTAAGCATCATGACCACTGTTGGACATATCATTATTACAGATTAGAATGTATAAGAATACATGCAGAGACTCTTTCACTATTTTGGGAATAGTGTTTGATGCTTTTGAATAAGGAAAATTGTGTTGCTGTAAATAAAATTTGATTTTTTTTAAAAATTATACTGAATGTCTTTTTTTTCACAAAGTACCTCTTAATCAAAAGATTACTTTGTTTCAAATGTTTCTTTTTGTATTGCCATCAGAATTAATGCAAAGTGGAAAATGAAATTATTTGTTTATGTCTTTTTTGTCCTTTTTTGAAAATTTTGATGGGAATATGGGAAAAAAAAGCACTGGTTTCCCTTTAATGGAATAGAGCCGTTAAGATAACTGGGTTTTATAATTCCTCAAATTCCCATCTTTTTGGGTTGGATTGCATAATTTCTTCACCAAATCATCCGATATATATGTGTTTTTTTATGGAAAATCTGCAACTGAGAGTCTCCATGATTAAAAAAATAAAATGTAGCGGGTACATCTCATGAATTTTTATGAAATTTGAAACTACTGAACCATATTTTTCTCTATGGCAAAATGCTGGGCAATTGTATTCATCAAACTTCGTCAACTCTGCACAATTCTAACAAAATTAACATTGATTTGAACAACCGATATGCCAGCTTATATTTATATTGAAAGTACTCACCCCTGATGATTTGGGCACCACTACTTTTTGATTAAAATAGGAAGTTGTAGTATCATGTTGATCACTTCCTATAACGACGGGTGTGCTAAAGGATCGTCTCTGCTTGGACTCTGTATCTTTCCCCTCAGAGTCTTCCACTATACTACCGTAGCTAGCGACTTCTGAAACATCCCCTAGATCGGTGATGTCATTAATGGTTGCCATAGCAATGGCTTAATTATCAAGATGTAAGGAATGAGGATGATTGGCCAAGTCAATCCTTGCGAATCAAAAATTCAATTCATTGTCTGATATTCTGAAAAGAAAATCAGATTTAAGTATAATCTTTCTGTTATAACACAAAGGAATGTACCTGGGAGTTAGCTTACAAAATCAAGGACTGACATTAGCAATATCAATCCCATAAAATCATTACTTACAATTAAGAAATAAATATAACTTATTTTAGATTTTTTGGGGTTGAATATTGATATATTTACAAAATGCTATGTGTTCTGATTCACAGATAAACATTAGTATTGCTATCACATAAATATTTGTTAATTTGTTTCATCTTCTCATTTCATGTACTCATAAAGGTCACTAAAATGCTTCTAAATTCAACATTTTCAATTTTAAAAACAGGTTTTACCTTCAAAAGTAAAATGACAACATAACTGTATAAATTTCAATTTTTATATAATTAAAATGTATAAATAATACTATTGGGGGGTGGGGACAGCCCGAGTTTCCTCTTGCCCTGACACCAGACTTGGTCTGGTCATCTATCTGTCAAAATGTCTAAGTCTGGTGTCAGGGCCAGAGGAAACTCGGTTAGGGTAGGGTAGTACTAAGATTAATACCTGGCCCCGGCCGACGGCGACGCAATATATAATCAGTCTGTCAGGTTTTTTAGGGTAAAACCCGAGAGACCTGCAAATGTAAAATCTCACCGGATTTTTTTTTATCAAATAATTATGTCAATCCCTATTTCATTTAATGAACAGATCTTGTCCAACCATAAAATAAAGCGGCCGTAAGCACCCTCTGAAAGATTTATTTTTCAAGAGATGCCCATGCCATTGAAAATGTATCCTGCTGTTTTTCTTGTTTCCTTTGAAAAAATATTATTTCTCATAAACATAAAAAATCAGGGAAACAAAAAAATATGTTGAATGAAAACAGGAACATCAAAATTTTGTAATTTTACAAAGAAAGTTGGTCATCAGACAAAAAATATAATAATACATGTTTCCTGTACCCTAATATTTTCTTTATAGCCTATAGCTAGGTTGCGTCACAGCCACAACTTTACGGATGGTTACACATCATGCATTCATGCATGATGTAGGTCCTATGATAGTCCCAATTATTCTGACGTTTTATCGACTTTTTTATATCGGTCTGTTGTCGATATAAAAAAGTCGAAAAAACGTCAGAATAATTCGGACTAGTCCTATGATAACGACATACGATGACCTACGTGTACTCAACGAACCTGTCTAAACGGTATATTATTGTAGTTTTGAAGAGCTGTGAACATTGACCCGATGTCTGAACGTAAAGCAATTTATAACTGAATCAAAATTAATTTAAATACTGTTCCATCGAAATGGGCATCTAAAACTCACGCATTACTTACCGTCACATGATCTGACAACAACCTGTCATCTTTGGAAATAATATTACAGTGACCTCCCCTGACGGAGTTCTCCACTCAAAGGTGAAGGCCGACAAACATGCTGACTTCCCGTTGTTAAAGATTTTGGCGCATCTGTTGGAGCAGAAAAAGAAGAAATCGCTTTAAAACCTTGGTTCCCGTTGTTAATTTTTTGACGCGTCTGTTAGAGAAAGGAAAAGAAGAAATCGCAATTTAAACCGAATATTTTTAACAAAACAAACTGAATATAGTTTGACAAAACAACAAAATAAGAAAATGCCGAAAGATTCAAAAGGTGCACTGCAGATCGAAAGAGAACGACTTTTGGAAAAGGTAATGAAATCGTTTTAACAAAAATATGGCCGAAAAAGTATGAATGAACTACCAATGTATAATGACATGAGACACATTGGTATGGATAGTTTTTTATATTAACGCGTCCCGACATTTACTAGCAGCACAGTGATACACATGGTCACATGTGAGAAAGGCCTTACTGAACTTACAACTCTGTCGTATACAGAATGTATTTTATTTCATCTTGTTGAAACGTCTGACATTTTCACATATTCAAGATTAATTCTATTCTTGATTCATGCATGTCAGTTCATATATTGAATGTCAAAGAGGAAACCTCATTTTACCATTTAAATATGTTCAGTCGTACAATTTCCAGAACATTTCTAATAAAATATATATTATTGATTATTTGAATCAGATTCAAAAGAGTCAGAGTTCAGTATTGGCTATAGTTGTAATCAATTGTAAAACATATACTGGTTGACATTTTTTGGCAATGTTTTTTCTATGCTTTGTCAATTGTTATTTATATAAGTCTCTGACGTTGTGCCTTTTTTCATGAACTATTCTTTCTAATAATTTGTTTTATATTGTGTTTATAGGTTTCAGATTTCAAAGAAAAATTCAAAACAGATGTAAGTATATCAGTTTCTGGAGATATTTGTCAATGGTATTTAATCTAAGATTGTTTCTTCAACTGTGTTGTTTCTATGATTGAAAATATCCTAAACACTATACAAATCATAAAGCCTATTAGTTTACATGAATAAGAATTTATTGGAATGAAAGACCAATTTTAGCTCACCTGGCCCGAAGGTCACATGGGTCAAATGTCGTAAAATCTTCAAACCCAAGGCCCATGGTGCTGTTATTGGGCATGTAGCATGCTGGGATGAAGGACTGCCATGTTTGTTCAAATGCATGACCTTGACCCACTTTCAAGGTCACAGGGGTAACATGTCTTAAAATCTTCAAAAGACTTCTCAATAACCAAAAGGCCCAGGGTACTGATATTGGGAATGGGCCTGTAGCATGCTGGGATAAAATGCTACCAAGTTTGATCAAATGAATGACCTTGACCAACTTTCAAGGTCACATGGGTCAAATGTCTTAAAATCTCCAAACAACTTCTTCTCAATAGCCAAAAGGCCCAGGGTACTGATATTGGGCCTGTAGCATGATGGGATGAAGGGCTACAAAGTTTGTTCAAATGAATGACCTTGACCCACTTTCAAGGTCACAGGGTCAGGGTTCAAATGTTGTAAAATCTTCAAACCACTTCTCAATAACCAAAAGGCCCATGGTACTAAAATTAGGCCTGTAGCATGCTGGGATGAAGGACTACCAAGTTTGTTCAAATGAATGACCTTGACCCACTTTCAACCTAATGTCCTTGTTCAACATTCAAGGTTACTGGCATCATGTTTTAATCTTTTAATAGGTTCTTATGAATCAAAAACTGATATTATGCCTGTAGCTGTATTTTAGTCCACTTTTAAGATTACAAGTGTGAGATTAATACCAGGTTAGTGATGCAGGTCCAATTGGGCCTCTTGTTTCAAGGTCACAGGGGTCAAATATGTTTTAAACCTTTAAACAACTTTGAATAACCAAGACGCCTAGGATAATGCCAGTAACATGCTGGGATGAAGGACTACCAAGTTTGTTCAAATGAATGACCTTGACATATATTCAAGGTCACAGGGGTCAAATATGTTAAAAACCTTTTAAACAACTTCTACTTATTAAGCAAAAGTCCAAGGGTGATGATAATTGGCCATTAACATGCTGGGATTAAGGACTACCAAGTGAATGACCTTAGCCCATATTCAAGGTCACAGTGGTCAATATATGTTCAAATCTTTAAATGATTTGTTCTGTATAGCCAAAAGGTCCAGGGTAATGATATTTTGCCAGAAGCATGCTAGGTTGGAAGACTATAAACTCTGTTCGACCTAATGTCCTTGTTCGACATTCAAGGTCACAGACGTCATGTTTTAATCTTTTAATAGATTCTTATGAATCAAACACTGATATTCTGCCTGTAGCTGTATTTTAGTCCACTTTTAGGATTACAAGTGTGAGATTAATACCAGGTGAGCAATTCAGGCCCATTGGGCCTCTTGTTTATCAAACATTATTGTCTTTGAAATGTAGAACACATGAAATTATGATATTAAAACCAGTTAGTGAAAAATACTTAAATGTATTGCATATCTAGGGAAAATCCTGGAATTTGAGAGCAGTGGGCCATTTCAGCAACTTTATGTCAATATCAAAAGTTAAGAGGGGCCATTCTATGTAAAATTAAAAGAAAATTGTAAGATGGAGGGGTCAATTTCAGTTTTGAGGGGTCAATGACCACATGGCCCTCCCCAGGATTATCCCTGCTGATGTTTTGTAGTGTTTACACATTTAAGTAAATTTAGCATTGTATACTAAAAACAAAACAGTGCATTAGTATTTTTATGTGCAATACCAAATACATCAAATTGACAATTTACGAAACAAAATAAACAGTCTATTAATTTATTAAATTACAGCAAATACAAAAATAACTATAGCTAATTATCATAGGTAGATCCAGGTGGGGATGTACAAGTGACCAATTGCGTTTGGTATTATTACGTTTTCAATTAATTGTTATTTGCTGAAATTATAAATATATATATATAAATTGTTTTCACCAATGGATAAAAGGGGCTTCATTTGCCCCTGGACCCCCTTTGTAAAATCTTTGATTTTTCCCTCTAACTGAAATCCTGGAACCACCCCTACTAATTTCATTATTATACCCCCGCTTCAACGAAGTCGAGGGTATTTAGTGTTTGCTTCGTCCGTCCGTCTGTGTGTCTGTGCATCTGTCCGAAAGGTTTCCAGAGCATATCTCCTGTACTATTTCACCTAGGGTTATGAATCTTGGTTTGTGGGTACATGCATGGAAGACGGTGTGTCACGTATCTTTTGTAGGTCACTGTGACCTGTACCGTGACCTCTGACCTACATAATATCGTCAGAAAGGTTTCCCGAGCATATCTCCCGTACTAATTCACCTGCGGTTAAAAATCTTGGTTTGTGGGTACATGCATGGAAGGCGGTGTGATGCGTACCATATGTAGGTCACTGTGACCTGTATTGTGACCTCTGACCTACATAATGTTGTCAGAAAGGTTTCCGGAAAATATCTCCCGTACTAATTCACCTGCGGTTAAAAATCTTGGTTTGTGGGTACATGCATGGAAGGCGGTGTGTCGTGTACCATATGTAGGTCACTGTGACCCGTATCGTAACCTCTCTCCTACATAACGTGAGACTTGCAGCATATAAACTCTTCACTTGACTCTTCCAATCCACAAGCCCATCACTCCCACCAATTTCTGATCAATCAAAAGGCCCCCATCTAGTTTAAATAAGTATTTCACACTCCATTGATCAGAAAATCATCATTAGAAGAAAGGAAATTTATTTTTGTGATTATTATGAATATAATGTGGGCATTTCAATTTGCAGGGAGACCACCTCGTACAAGACGTCTTCCCCAACAAAATCTTAGAACTTGAGGAATTGTTCCAGGTTTGTATGTTTTTGTGTGTGATGGAAAACTACCCCTTACTAAAATGGTAGACTTTATGTTATGCTAATTCAACCAAGGTAAATAAGATATAGCAAGGTCATGGCCAGGACTTTGGGTGGGGGAGACGTATTTTGGGATGAAGAAATATGTTTTTTTTCACCATTTTCTCTTCAAACTTTTAGGAATGAAAAAAAGAAATTAAGCTGTAATTAAGATGACAATGCAACATCTAAAAGGGGATGTTTAAGTGTGTAAGATAATACTTTGTAAAAGAAAAGTTTAATTCTTTACATTCCCAATTTGGATTAAAAATGATACAATTTTCCCCATTCCAAAGTATAGGCCACATTCCTGGATTGAGTGCAAGAAAAAACCCTGACATTAAAAACACATCAAATATCAATATAATCAAAAACTTATACTGTAAAGTAGAATGTTGCAGTGCTCTTTGTTGTATCTCCAGTGAAGAAAAGCTTTGACTTGCTTGCTCATTTTTGTCCCCACCACATCAGTGAAAGGGACATTTTCCATCTTTTTATCCAACTTCTTGATTGAAGTTTGCGTTTAGCTCCATTTCTAGATACTACAAGTCCCATGGTCATCAAACTTTATATGCAGATACACCTTCACAATTACTTTGATGTCATGTAACCTACATTTTCAGCTTTACTGCCCTGGTCAGACTTTGCATTTAGCTTCAATTCTCGGATGTTACCCTCCCATCAAAAGTGAAAAAATGCAAGGTTTGAGTTTCATCATTATTTTGAAAGCAATTATTTGATAACTATTTTAAAACATGTTCCATAATTCTTTTTCAGACAATGTGTTTGTCCAAAGTTACAGACATGCATTGCGACCTCAATATTCCTGTTCCAGACCCCATATTGTTCAGCAACGACAATGATTCAGGCGAGGTAAATATAAGACTGTGTCAAGGTCATGTTACTTACTTAGTAAATAGAAGTTCATGTACAATTGACAATGTATATAGTTTAAGGATATGTGTTATCTTACTGTGACACAAAAATCTCTTTTCCCAAAAGAGTTCTAGACTCTGAAATCTCTAAAATGGCTTTTATTAATGGAAATTCAGAATTGGGTAACCATCAAATGGCACTTATGAAAAGTATTCAGAAATACATGTATAAAAAAAACATTCAGAAATACATGTATAAAAAAAAACTTGTGTTATTTTGAATTTTTAGATAGGGATTGAGCAGCAGTTTTTAAATTTTCATGCAAGTATGATTGCGAATCGGTTACATCCATATTGCATGAAGCCCTATAGCAGGCATGAAAATTTAAAAAACACCGTTCAATCCATATATTTACATTTTTACTATAGAACAATTGTTTAATTTAATTTTATTGATTTATTCGTAAATGATTAATTTATTTACTGCATTTTGTATATATGCATCATCCTTTAAACGACATTGGCGGAATAGCCCTATTTGAATAAAATTGGTGCCAATAATTAACAGTAGTCATTTGAGCGTTTGACGCAGGGGAATTCTCCATGTTATTGGAAGGGAAGCGACAAGACTCATTGAACAAGGTTTATCTGTGACATTTACATTTTAACTATAGAACAATTGTTTAATTTTATTGATTTATTCGTAAATGATTTATTTATTTACTGCGTTTTGTATATATGCATCATCCTTTAAACGACATTGGCGGAATAGCCCTATTTGAATAAAATTGGTGCCAATAATTAACAGTAGTCATTTGAGCGTTTGATGCAGGGGAATTCTCCATGTTATTGGAAGGGAAGCGACAAGACTCATTGAACAAGGTTTATCTATGACATTTACATTTTAACTATAGAACAATTGTTTAATTTTATTGATTTATTCGTAAATGATTTATTTATTTACTGCGTTTTGTATATATGCATCATCCTTTAAACGACATTGGCGGAATAGCCCTATTTGAATAAAATTGGTGCCAATAATTAACCGTAGTCATTTGAGCGTTTGACGCAGGGGAATTCTCCATGTTATTCGAAGGGAAGCGACAAGACTCATTGAACAAGGTTAATCTATGAAGTCATAAGTAAACCATGTGCTACGTCACAAGAGTTTTTTCTTTCATACTCAAATGAAATGCATTTCTGCTGGTAATGACCATATAGTGGCATGGGTTGCGGTGCAAATGTAAATATATAATGGTAATTTTGAAATATATATAAATCATAGGTAAAATGTATAAGGTAGCATACAGCCTTAAGTTAAAAACAAGTGAGTAGTGTACTTCACTTGATTGTTATGGATAATCCAAATTTTCAATAAGCATGCAAACTACCTGCCCTTATTTTACATGTAAATTGTTCTTTTTTATAGGCCAAAATTTCGTTGAACTATTTTTAGAGTTCCTGAAAAACCCTCTCAGTCTGATTGTTCATTTCAGTTTCCACTGCACTACCAAATCCCTATTTAAACAATATCAAAAATTGCATTCATGGAACTTTGAACGCGATCAGGTCAATAGATGAGACCGTCATAAGATGCAAACATTTTGGTGATTAGTTTGACTGTTATATCATTTACACTGATGATATAGACTCTTCCATGTCACAAATGTTTATTTATTTATTATATTATAATATTTTTATTTGTTGATCTTTTAAATCCTGTTTAAGAACTGTATCTTTCCTTTTTTTAGCCACAGTCAAAGAAACGAAAATCTGATAATGACCATCAGAACAGTGAAAACAATGTTTCAGGTAAGTTTAAAGTGTCAAATACTGATTAGATGCCCAGCCTCTAATTGTCCCCCACTAAACGAAGTTGGCTGGAGATATAGAAATGCCCAGGCTTTTATTAGAACCAATATAGTACATCCAAATAATTGAGTAAAGATCTATTCCATTAAAAATAATTTACCTAACCACAGGACTCCAAAATTATTCTCTTCTATCCACAAGTAGGTTTCTTGCCTGTTACTTTAATTTCATGCACATTATTGTCTAATCACTGAATGAAGGACTAAGAACCATATATTGTACAATGTTTGATCTGGTGGAGATGATGACCTGTTTATCTTCCTGTTTGCAGGCACCCCTGTGATGGTGCTACCTAACGGGGCGGTTCCGTGTAATAAAAAACTGGTGGTGTTGTCAGAAAGGATGAAGCCTCTTATATGGGAACTCATAGACCACGCAAATCTTGTAAGTATTAAAAGATTTATTAACTTCATTCCCCCCCCCCCCCCCCCCCCTCNCGTATTTGGCACTTTGTTGGCCTGGGTGGTAGCATACAATGGATTTTTAATGTGAGTGGAAACTGGAGTGAACGGTTAAAAAGAGCTTGGTTGGGCAGATGACCTTTACTTTTCAAGTCTGAAAGGGAAACCAAACCCTGGCAGTCTTGGTGAAATGCATTTTTTTATCCACTGGGCCACCTGACCAACCCAACAAACTCTTTTAAGATATGAATACATATTTGTGCCTTGAGTGTTTGTCTAGATTTTGTGGTTTCTTTGCGAGTGTTTATTGATTTATCAAGGAAATGGTTGTCTACTTTAAATGATGGTATTTTCTTGAAACTGGCTAGTAAAATTGATAAGCATTTTTCATTGAGGTAATTTTTATGGTCACTGATTGTGTATTTTAACAAGAACTTCAGCGAAGGACAGAAAGGCTGTAGGGAAACATACATTGAAATGCCGGATGTACAGTTTGATTAAAATAAAAACTAATTATCAAAACTTGATTCAATTCTTTGTTGAAATAAGAGCTGAATGCATTGATTTATACTGGTTGTATATAATTAACCCTTTCATAATGTTTTTATGTGTTCTGCCTTCGTTTCAGTTAAAAATGTGGATAGCATTCTTGATACCGAAGATTGAAGACGGCAACAATTTTGGAGTTTCTATCCAGGTAAGTAACTTGAGATAAGGCAACGTCACTGATTATACTTTTCAGAAAAGCAAAAAGCAGATTTTGTGTGTAGATCTCTACAATCCTGTACAGATGGTGAATGTGGGTAGGGTGGGGATGGGGGCTGGGCTTTTAATCAGCATAACCCTATTGTCATAGTTTTAATCAGATTGGTAGCTAGGGCAACAATTTTGAAGTTTCTATCCAGGTAAGTAACTTGAGATTAGGCAACGACACTGATTATACTTTTCAGAAAAGCAAGAAACTGAAAGCAGATTTTGTGTGAAGATCTCTACAATCCTGTACAGATGGGGAATGGGGGTAGGGTTAGGCTGGGGGCTGGGCTATAATTAGCATAACCCTATCGTCATAGTCTTAATTAGATTGGTAGCTACAGTTGACAAGTATTGTATGTATACAGAAGAACCTTCACCCATAAAATACACGTTATTTGGCCAGTGTTTATTAGGTCAGTTTTTGGCGTTCTTTATTGACTTATTTCACTGAGATTACTTTGTATGCTTTACTTAGACAATGCAATGAAACATCAGAAACATACATTACTACATACTTATCATTATCAACATGTTTATTGTTAATTCTTGCATCTTATGAAAATATAGCTAGGAATTATGTTCTGATCACCAAACTTTAAAAATATGTCTAGAGTAAATTAATTTCTTTATATGTCCTTAAGAGTTTTTTATAAGCATATTGTACTGCATATGATCTCTTAATATTTAGAAAATGATATTTTCTAAATTCTTAATGGTTGTATTGAAGATCATTTCCAAAAGTACTAATACATAAAAAATACTTGTACAAAAAAGCGATACTTTAATTCTTGTTTCTATGACAACAGGAAGACACAATGGGTGAAGCTAGACAGGTGGAGAGCGAGGCTGCGTCCTATCTAGAACAAGTCTCGCGTTACTTCATCACACGGGCTAAACTTGTGTCGAAAGTCGCCAAATACCCACATATTGTAAGTCAGGAATACTGTAGAGTGCTTCAGCTTATCGTATTATTTATAATTCAATTGAAATTGTTTTCATAGTTAATGTTAATTTAAGTATTACAAAATCAGTTATTCAAACATAATGCAAGACATACATAATCACATGTCATGTGAAATGTGAACTAATGTTGTCGCAAGTAAGTATGAAAAGGTCAATTTATGAAATTATCTTTGTACAAAATATGAGTATTAAATGTATATATATGCTGTCTTGTTATTTGTAAAAATAAAATAAAAAATGTACTTGCCAAGGACTTACCAAGTAAGGAAAAGATTTGCTAATGTAAACATTGAAATAAAAAGGACTTGTATATAACATATATACATGTACCACTCACTGGTCTGCCATATATAACCCATGGAGGTGCAGATGGCATTCATTCTGCTATAAATTTCATGACAGACATGTTGAGATTATCTGATCATAAATTTGGAGGCAAGTTTCATGCTATAGTTGTGTTCCTCAGAGTGACTACAGACAAGCCGTGAAGGAGCTGGACGAGAAGGGATTCATCAGCCTCCGTCTCATCTGCTGTGAACTAAGGAATCATTACGTGAGTATAACATATTCAGTGATTTGTTTTGCTCAGTTTTACTGTCTAAAAATGGCTGTTTCCCCTCTGACACTAGAAAGCGCCTTATTTTCCCAAAATAAAGCAAAACTGAGGAATAACCCAATTGCAATACAGATAATGCTATATTTTCCCCATTCATAAAGGAATGGGCTGTTGTAAAATTCAGGTAACAAAAACACTGGTATGATAGGACAAAGTGCTAAATATATAATACATTCCACTTATTGTCATGTTGTTTAATATCATGTCATGCTTAATATCACATTCTACTTTGTCTCCCCTTCGAATGAATCAAGGCCAGCTTAGAGCAGTCGCCTGGTACTGGCCACAAATTGATGGTTTTTCTCCACCACCAAAACCTAGTTCATTATGAAATGACCAATAGCTGTTGTTAATATGATGTAAAACACAAACTGTTTTTGCTATTTTTTATAATCAACAACTTTTGTTGAACAGTTTTACATGAGATTTAGTTGCTTTTGACTGTCAAAAGTGATAAGGATTCAAATTTAACATTCATGAAAACTAACAAACGAAAACCGTGTAACAAAAAATTGTTCATAATGAACAATATTCTTTTCAATATATTACACAAAATCATAATCATTTTTTCAGGCTAGTCTACATGACCTTGTATTGAAAAATATGGACAAAATCAAGAAGCCCAGAAACGCAAATGCCCAGAGCTTGTACTAGTTTGACTTCAAAGATCAGGACATTACGACGATTCGCATACTGGACTCGGCATTCCCCAGCAGGATAGGCTATCAACACACAGTTAGTCCATTGCGATGTACCAATGCTGTCTGAATTGAGGACGTTCAGTTATCTTCATGAAAAGATGCTGTTGTGGTGATCATAAAAACAAAATTCCATTTTGGAAGCAGAAATACCATCATGCTGTCCGAACGATGAATATGTGAAAGAGACTCTTTGGATCTAACTTTATGGACAGAGTATGGCATTATAACTTGTAAAACTTTACTTTGTAAATGGACATATGGGGTCCGAGTCATGAATTTGAATTTTTTGAAATTGAAATGTTGGAAAGTGTTTTTGTCATGTTTGTTATTTGTCATGTCAACAAACACACCAAATGCAGGCAGTTTCTAGACATTTAGACTTTATTCATTAATTCACGGAGATTGTGCTTAAAGTAGTCGGGATATTTTCTAAACAAAGTTGAGAACAGAAAATACGAGAATAGAGAAATTTGAAACATTTTCATTTTGTTGTAATTATGATTTGGCAACAATCCTCAGACTGTTAAAAACTTAACGCTGTTCCTGATTTCTCAAAAAATAAAATTTGTAGTTTTTAAAATTAATTGTCCATACTTCTTAATTTCATCATAATTTGCATGTCTCAAAATATATCATGAAGTTTAAAAAGTAAAAATTGTCATTAAAAACCTTTATTTTGAGCAAAAACCAAAGTTTTAAAATTTAGGCTTTTCTTAATTTATTGAAACATTTTTCATGCAATTTCAAAAATTCTTTAATGTAAACAACACATATTTGTAGTATACTAGCACATTGAAAAACAAAAATTAAGGCATACAAATGGGAATAAAATAGTATTGGTAGAAATAATATTGAGAATCTGTGCTTGCGTCCTTTTTGCCCCTGCTTTTGTTTCAAATGAAATGGTCTGCTTATTGGGTTAAATTCAGCTTAAGACTCGAATTTTATATACGCAAATTAAATATGTTTACGTTGCTGTTGACAACATATTAACATAATTAGGGACTGGCGAGCCTGACTCGTTTGATAAGTCACTAGATATAATTGATATGCTGTGTTATATGGAATAAAATTAATTCAGGGTTGATGCCATGAATACTGTTTTGTCAACCTCTGCCATATACGAATAGTAATTTATAGCTCTAGTCAACTTTTGACTATTCTGACCATAAATGTATGAAAAAATGTATAAAATTCAGTCATAGTTTCTTTTATATCATAGATTGATATTAATCTTTGAGAAATAATTCAGAACAACTTAATAATTCATAAATCATCCAAGCATTAAAAATAGATAAAGTGTTGGGATTCAAAAACCTAATACATCTGGTACAATTGTAAGGTGATTCAGTTTACATATGTCTATGGTGACTGTGTACCGGAAATTTTCGCCTTTTTCGCCCCCTGCGATGAAGGCAATTTTTTTTCATTGTAATGAAATGTGAAGGGCGAAATTAACACTGGATGAAATTTGATTTCACAGGTGAAAGTTTGAGATGACGAAAATTTTCCGCTATACAGTATGTAAATAATTTTCGTTTTATTAAATGAAATAACACTTCTGTATACAGGACACTTTGTCAAGTAACCATTTGTGAAGTATGCTGTGTGGTAATGTTTAGCACTGTGATGAATCTGTAGTCAATAATGTGAACAAAAATGGCAAAATTTAAACTGCAGGGAACATTTTCTGGTATAATAGACAAACCTGCTTATGTGACCACTTCCATTAAGAGACCATCCTTGTTATATTAAGAGGCCACTTTTATGCCCTATCATAGTGATTTCATTGTGAATTTAACCTGTATTAAGAGACCACCTCCATTAAGAGACCTCCCCTTGTTATATTAAGAGGCCACTTTTATGCACTATCATAGTGATTTCATTGTGACTTTAACCTGTATTAAGAGACCACCTCCATTAAGAGACCTCCCTTGTTATATTAAGAGGCCACTTTTATGCCCTATCATAGTGATTTCATTGTGAATTTAACATGTATTAAGAGACCACCTGCATTTAGGACATTTTTTTTACTTCCCATGAGTGTTTTCTTATACATGTATAGGTTTGACTGTATACAAGGTCAATATACTGTAAATGTGGAAGTTTATAAACAGAGTGAATAATACTTATCACATGCTGTTTGTGTTTCGACATAATTCTTTCTCCTCCCTTTAGCTCATTATTCACCCCTACATTTTTAGACTGGAATTGCCCAGTCTTTGATTTCTTATCTTCCAATGTGACTTTCGGGGTGAATGGGTTAAAATGGACTACTCCTCACAATGTGTATCAGTCTCTGAGCATGCTGAAGTTACACACTACAGAACAGCGCTTTGAGTGAAATTATGATTTACATATTGATATGATATCGAGATTGGCTGAAAACTTTGGTTTTACACAAAATTTACCTGTAGAGTTAGTTGAGAGGCATTAATTTAGCCAGTTGTCCTCAAAGCCAGTTATTTGATTAGAGCTGTTTCGACGATGTAAATACACAAACAACCAATCATATCCTCTCTCAAGTGTGTTATAGCTGTGTAAACTTAAGGATCGTCGTAGCATCGCCAAAAACTGTAATTAAGTGTCGGAATTAAAAAAAATAATTGTCATGACTATAGCGTTAATAAATTATTACTGAAAAGAAAACCATACCTTAGTGGGGCTAGACTGGGAATTGAACTCTGGACCTCAGATTGTTATACTATAGCTCTAACCGATTGAGCTACCTGGTCATAGGAAGTGCCCTGCCCCAACTGTGCTACCATCCAAATGGAGGTCAAGGGGAGGTTACTGCATATATAGGGGAAAACACAGTGCTGTGGGACAGGGATACTTAAATTATTAGTCTATCATTGGAACTGCCGAGGTAGACTTAAAGGTTTTCACTTTTTCTGCCAATTTTTTTACGGACATATTTCATTCTCTGTCACGAACGATTGCAAAATTTTGTACGCGTGCGAGTGCCTCTTGTGATGGTGGAGTGTCACAATCTGAAATCAGATCTTGTGAACCAATATAAACAGAGTTATGGCCCTTTGTTCAGGTTCGATCATGACCTTTATCAAGAAGTTGAGGACTATTAGCGGATCACAATACTTTGCCTTGTTTCTATATTAAGGGAAAATGGTGCTTCCGTATAATGAAATTCCCAGAATAGATGCATTGTATTATAAAACTTCACATTCAAATGAGTTACTTCCACATTCATCAGAGACAGCTTTCCTAATTACCAAGAGTGTACTTGTGACTTGTTCTTGTTGAACATCTTTAACAAGCTTAATTAAGGTAATATAAAGACTCCTTATCAAATTTTACTCAATTGCAATATTTTCTAGATTGTCCTCAATTAAAAAAAAAGTCAAATGAAGGGGGAGGGGGGTTATTTTAATAAATCCCATACATCAGGGTTTGTGATCAGTAAGGAAAATATTTTTTAACATTTCAAATAATTGTTGATTATAAAATTTGGTAAACCGAACAAAGAACCGAATCTAGTGGTTTTATTGTGTAAATGTATTTGACAGGAAAATGCGTATTAAGTTCTGCCGATTTTGTCTGGCAACTTTGAGTAAAATTTATTTTGTTTACGTTAAAATCTTTCGGTGCTCCCTGGGCCATGTCAGCTGTATAAATGGAAGCGGGCCAGGTTAGCATACAATCAAACTTCAAAGTTTCGAACTTTGTGGGACCATTTGGAAAAGTTTGAAACATCAGGACTTCGCCTCACAAATATTGAACATCAAGACAGAATGTGATTCTTTAAATGTGTGATGAAACACAGGCTAAGACATTTATATTTAAATATAAATATTGGATTTTTCTTATCATAACCACACAACATTTTAATGGTCTAGTACAGGTGAATTTTTCACTTTAATTTATTATTTGTAATTTTCAATGTTTTCATAACAAATGAGCCTTGATTATACTTCCAACAGCGAGAAATTTGACTCATAAAAGTTCAATTCATGAAAAGAATATTAGTAGTGTTATTTATATAAGGAAAAGGTCTGACTTTGCTGTGAGTTTGACACATAGAAAAGTTTGAGTCTTGGAAGTTTGATTAACGGAAGTTTGAGTGTGGCTAGAAAACGTGAAAATGTATTTTCTATTAAATTTTGTTATATAATGTAACATTCAACTACCGTATGTTCTCAGATGTTTTTCTTAATGATCACACTTCAGGGTTACAAGGGTAACAGCCGTCGCCGAAATTCGTATTATACTGTACTGCACATTTTCATTATTTGAATGTTTGGTATGTAAGAAGAAAGATAAAACAAATTTTCTACTACTGAATGAAGTCAGAAAAGAAAATGTTGTGAATGTATTATTGATTTAAAAAATTTGATAATTGTGAATTGAATTTTTTTTTCTTTTCATTTTCTTGTCTTTGATTTTGAGAGATGAAAGAGAATAGGTTCGACTTGTTTTCATAGGATGGATTGTCTTAACAATTGTATTTCAAATTAATTTTAAGTCAATATGTTGTGCTAATTATGGTGATTGGTGTTATTAAAGAATGACGTTATTTCAGTCGGTCCATTATTCCGTAGAAATCAAAAACTGAATTTTCACAAAAGTAAAATTCAACAAAGGTATAGAAATTATCATTGAAATATGTAATTATTATTCTCAGCAATATAATGATCTGTGTGCATGAAATTGTCATATATTTTTTATTCAAATAATGTTGATAGAAAATTTGACAATGAGGAATTTTTTTTTCAATTTCCGAAAGAAAAAATATTTCTTACATCAGTCATGAAAAACAGTATGCTTTAATTAATATAAGGAAAGAAAATTGTACTGTTCCGATTAATTTGTGTATGTGTGAAAGTCGTCATGCATGTGTTATATTCATGAATTATATGTTACCTGGAAAAAACAATTTAGATACTATTAGTTTATAATTTAAAAACACCTACCATGAAAATCTTGTAAACAAATCACCTTATGCTATGTCAGTAGTATTTTATTTCATGTGATGTGTTAGGTTAGTGGCAGATATTTTTTGCACTGTATATAAAACTGAAAGTTTATATTTCAGAAACCTTCAACCTTATTGGTTGAGCAAATTGAAATCAATATTCTTATTGGTCAGATAAAAGTTTTGTTGCATTCTGATTGGTCAATTTTGACCCTTGTTGCAGTTTGAGAAAGTGCTGAATGCGTTATATGGCGTATATGTATATGTAAGGTAATGGAAAATAAAAAATTACTGTTCTCTTGAAAATTTTGTGTATTGCTTATTTTATAAGGCTGACATCATTCATTTGACATGGGAAAGATATGTTTAACTTGTTTTTAAATATGGTAAAATGAAATCCTAATGAAGAAAAATTGTCTCAAGTAATTTCTAAAGTAATGAAGTACAGTACACAAATTGGCAAAACCATACCTAGCATGATAAACCAAAGTGAGTTTCAAATACTTTATATACAGTATATGTTTTCACCATATTCCACCAGTTTGGGAAATATGTAATATCGAAGTTTTACATTATACACAAAGAATGAACGTTTTAAACGTGTCCTGTCCTGTTTGATAGTGTGTATATGAGGTAAACAATACAAATTGCTCACTCAGTCATAGCTTGACCAAAGGACCAGTCAGTCTTGAAACTTTGCGATAAGTTTATACTTTGTGTATGGAGTAAAACTTCGATGTCATAAATAAGATTATCAAAATGTTCAATGAAACTTTTTGATGAAATCAAGCATATTTGCAGTTTGCTTGTGAAATACCAAGTAATGGGACATTTTCTTTCCCGTTATATTTCGAAGGACTTTAGTCTTTGGTGCAATTATCTGTAGATCTGTTTATTACCAACTACATGTACTACAAAATAATAAAGATTGGTGGGTAAGAGTCAGAAATAATTACTAGAAAGTTACCGAGTAAGAAACAAAATTATTGATGAACAGATGTATTGATACAGGATGATGTCTGAAATAATAGCCCAGGCTAGGAATAGGGAATTGTGCACACCTGTGAAAATATTTCAAAATTCCCAAAACAAAAATTGAAAAACAATACCAATGCACAGATATCATGTTTCATATTTTCAGTTTTATTGCCTGAATCAAACAACTTCTGCACAAAACAAAATAAAATAAACATAACAAATTCTCGTTTTTCAAACAACCATTCTATCACCATTCATTCACACTGTTTGGCACTTCCATAGACGTAAACAACAACTATTAGCTTTGGTACCTGCACAATGCAATGGAATCTTTTGAGTGAAGACAAACTTTTCTGACTCAAATAGTCCAGAAGAATTTCACCGTCCACATCAGGTAGGAAAAATTCACTCTCCCTATCCATCAAAACCAATTTCACTGCCCATAGGAAAATGTATCGGTCCGTATCAGTCTGAAAGTTGTCTACACATTCACTGAAAAACTTTGAACTTCCACGTCAGTCTAGCACTTTATCAAAGTATTATACTGTGGTATTGTTGGACTGACTCTTCACACGAAATCTATGTAAATTCACAGGGACAGCCACATATTTCAAAATATTCGGGCACTTACATGAATGAAGTTCACATACTGGTAAATATTCACATGGATTTCATGTGAATCACATTCACTTGAATTCTGACAATAGTCATATTAAATCACGCTAACGTCTTAAATCACACGAGGTCATGTAAATTCACACATGTGTCCACAGCCTGCAGGACAGAATTTACGACTCGAGAACCAATCGGACATGTGTTGTAGATGACCGCCATGGGAACATCCCTGACACCACAGGTACTGGCCTTTCACAGGGTGGTGGCTGGAAAATATACAGATATATTAGCCTACTGTAATTTTTTTACAGTTTCTGTTTTTGGAGGAACATCATTGTCATTTGTACATTTCACAAGCAGTCATTTTTAACAAATACAGCTGTCTTAATTATACAAAGATTTTCTTAATGGGCCCCACACTTGCCTCTAAGGGGATAATGACAACACAACAACATATTATGATTATTTAACGTACTAAGTTTCAAAGAAATCCGTCAAAAAATGTAGGAGGAGATCTTCGGACAAAAAATCAAATACTGAAATGAACAAAGGGCAATCACTTTTGGAAAAATTGTCGAATCAAAATTCTTTTACAGGAGACACAACTTCATATCATGATTATAATGTATACCAAGTTTCAAAGAGATCGTTTGAAAAATGTAGGAGGAGATTGCCGGACAAACAAAAGTTAACGTCGGACGGACGGACAACCCAATACAATAATACTTCCGCAAATTTGACGGGCGTATACAAATGGAAAAGTTAAAAGGTAAAAACATGAGGCCCAGATGGCTTGTATTGCTCACATGTAAATTTTGTTAGGATTCACCCCTTTATCTTGATGGGCCCCCACCCTTGCCCCTAAGGGGACAATGTCCTTAATTTGTACATATATTGTAACTCAATTTTTTTTCTTTTTAGATATACATTTTCGTCAGTACAGAATGAAATATTTGAAAGATTAATCTCTGTTTCCCTCATGGGTCCTGACCCAAGATTTTCATTATGTTTATTATTTTACATGACTGTATTTGTTTTTTAATCAGTTTTTGTTGTTGTTGTCAACAACTGTCACTCACCAAAGGGCACAAGTGTTGATGACCGTCTTGCACCGATCGCAGAGCCACCCGACACGCGACAACACTTTGTTGCACGTCGAGCAGTGTAAAGGGATTCGTGTTGACTGTTGGTTCATCATGGAGATCTGGGGGAGATAACTCATCTTGATCACGTCATTGGATATCGTCCACAGCTTGAACCGGCCCAGCAAGTCTGAAGGAAGAGGAGGGAATGAAGTATGATATATATACATACTGTACAACATTCTTTAGGATGAATACTTTTGCCTCAATAAGTAAGACAGTAGCATCTAAAACAAATTCAAATATATCTACAATATTTTGTAAGACAAATATTGTGCCAAGTAGGCAAATACCCGTAGTGTCAAAAACAAATTCAAACATTTCGCAAATAACTATTTAGACTCGTCTTTGAAAAAAGATCGGGATAATTAAACAAATTATTAGTAGTAGGTAATGTGTCTGTTTGTATAGATGGTAAGTCCAATTAATACACAAAACAAATTTTCCTGAGTAGGGATGTCTGATAACATTTACCTATATAAGACATGAAGCAGTTTTCCTGAGGAGTGATGTCTGATAACATTTACCTATATAAGACATGAACCAGTTTTCCTGAGTAGCGATGTCTGAGCCATATTTACTTATACAAGACATGAACCAGTTTTCCTGAGTAGTGATGTATGATCAATACTTACATATTTAAGACATGTCAATCAGTTTTTCTGAGTAGCGACGTCTGATCAATATTTACTTATATAAGACATGAACCAGTTTTCCTGAGTAGAGATGTCCGATAACATTTACCTATATAAGACATGAACCAGTTTTCCTGAGTAGCGATGTCTGATCAATACTTACTGCTATTAGACATGAACTATTTTCCTGAGTACTGATGTCTGATCAATATTTACCTATACAAGACATGAACACCAGTTTTCCTGCGTAGCGATGTCTGATCAATACTTACTGCTATTAGACATGAACTATTTTCCTGAGTACTGATGTCTGATCAATATTTACCTATACAAGACATATAAGACATGAACCAGTTTTCCTGAGTAGCGATGTCTGAGCCATATTTACTTATACAAGACATGAACCAGTTTTCCTGAGTAGGGATGTCCGATAACATTTTCCTATATAAGACATGAACCAGTTTTCCTGAGTAGAGATGTCCGATAACATTTACCTATATAAGACATGAACCAGTTTTCCTGAGTAGTGATGTCCGATAACATTTACCTATATAAGACATGAACCAGTTTTCCTGAGTAGGGATGTCCGATAACATTTTCCTATATAAGACATGAACCAGTTTTCCTGAGTAGGGATGTCCGATAACATTTTCCTATATAAGACATGAACCAGTTTTCCTGAGTAGAGATGTCCGATAACATTTACCTATATAAGACATGAACCAGTTTTCCTGAGTAGCGATGTCTGAGCCATATTTACTTATACAAGACATGAACCAGTTTTCCTGAGTAGTGATGTGTGATCAATACTTACTGCTATTAGACATGAACTATTTTCCTGAGTACTGATGTCTGATCAATATTTACCTATACAAGACATATAAGACATGAACCAGTTTTCCTGAGTAGTGATGTCCGATAACATTTACCTATATAAGACATGAACCAGTTTTCCTGAGTAGGGAGTCTGATCTATATGTACCTATATAAGACATGAACCAGTTTTCCTGAGTAGTGATGTCTGAATGTGTCTGTTTGTATAGATGGTAAGTCCAATTAATGCACAAAACAAATTTTCCTGAGTAGGGATGTCTGATAACATTTACCTATATAAGACATGAACCAGTTTTCCTGAGTAGAGATGTCCGATAACATTTACCTATATAAGACATGAACCAGTTTTCCTGAGTAGGGATGTCTGATAACATTTAGCTATATAAGACATGAACCAGTTTTCCTGAGTAGAGATGTCCGATAACATTTACCTATATAAGACATGAACCAGTTTTCCTGAGTAGTGATGTCTGATAATATTTACCTATATAAGACATGAAACAGTTTTCCTGAGTAGGGAGTCTGAACTATATTTACTTATATTAGACATGAACCAGTTTTTCTCAGTAGTGATGTCTGATCAATATTTACCTATATAAGACATGAACCAGTTTTCCTGAGTAGTGATGTCTGATCAATACTTACTGCTATTAGACATGAACTATTTTCCTGAGTACTGATGTCTGATCAATATTTACCTATACAAGACATGAACACCAGTTTTCCTGAGTAGCGATGTCTGATCAATACTTACTGCTATTAGACATGAACTATTTTCCTGAGTAGTGATGTCTGATCAATACTTACCTATATAAGACATGATCCAGTTTTCCTGAGTACCGATGTCTGATCAATATTTACCTATACAAGACATGAACCAGTTTTCCTGAGTAGCGATGTCTGATCAATATTTACCTAAACAAGACATGAACACCAGTTTTCCTGTCAGAGTAGCGATGTCTGATCAACACTTATTACTATTAGACATGAACCATTTTCCTGAGTAGAGATGTCTGATCAATACTTACCTATATAAGACATGAACCAGTTTTCCTGAGTAGCGATGTCTATTTGTGGACGGTTTTTCTGCCCTAATACTAACAGCATGCACACGGGAGTCTGTACATCACCCTGTTGTTTAAAAAAAATATTCAAACCAGGTATTATTTAATCTTATCGTAACCAAATACATTTTCATGCAATGCCATAATTTTTTCTGTATTGTGTTATTATATTTCACATCCACCAAAGATAATTTCATAATAATTGTCCTTTTTGCAATATTTTGTTAATTAAATGTATTATGGTAAATTATGGTAACTAAAAATTAACACAAGAGGTTCAGGTGGTGCAGAAATATTCCAAGATAAACAAACACACTTGGACCGAACTGTAGGCGGAGCTAAAAAACGCCCAGTTTTGGTGAATAAATAATAATATCAAGAATAATATGTCCTTCTTTCACATGTCCACTAAATTATGTAAAAAAATATCTTAAAAAAGACATGTGGCTTGACCTTGTTTCATAAAGAAATAACACAAATTAGCAACAGTTAGCATTTTAGTTTCAGTCGGGCACATATGAACCCCTCAATCTACATGTGCCAAATATTCCTGAGGTCAGCCTTGGTTCAAATCTGAGCGTGTTGTTTTCTTTCTGGTTTAACCATTTCAACTGGAAACATGTAAGGGCTGTAAGTGAAATGCACTGTACTAAATATGACCTTGACCTCGACGATGAAAGTAAAATGATTCAATCCAAACCTGTTCAGCGTAGAAGTACAGCATGTCCACGACGTGATTGGAGAACCCTAAGTTGGGGACGTTCATATCGTTGGAGAATGTCACCAGGACCTCTTCGTCGACATTTGATCTCGAGCTGTGTTGTAGATTCTGCATGTTGCCCTCACTTTCATTGGCACTGGTCGGCGAGTCGTGACCGTTTGGCATGGAATCTAGTGGATTTGGGTGTTCTTTGATCTCATGACGAGGCACAAAGGCTTCGTTGGGTAGAGTCAGCTCCTTTATATTAATGCAAGTGGAAGATCAGTTTTTTCTGCAGATAACTTAAAAAAAAAATTGTGCTTTTATCCTTGAAATTTTCCTAAATTTATGTTAATGAAATTCTGATAACAAAATTCCATATATTTTGGAATTAAAGAAATAATAATTGAAATCTAAAATGAAAGTTTTGAAGTTATAATTTAGATAAAGCACCTAATGACCTTTCAATTAATGAAGGATACTGATTCTAGTATATCCAAGTCAGGAGAATATTATTTTTAATATTAAATAATTTTCCCTTTGAGCTGGGGTTGGGCAGGAACTCTATTTTACAATCTGATACGTATACCCTTTTTCACCAAGGAGGATCCCAGTTCGAAAAAATAAAATCCTTTTACCAGCTCTTAAAAAAAGTCAAAAAGTTAAAAAGTCTATGCAGGATGAGTTTGAGTCATAATATTGTTTTTAAAAGACTTCTTCTTTAAGACATAGAATCAATCGAGAAAGTGCAGCGTAGAGCAACAAAACTGATACCTGGGCTAAAGGACCTCTCATACAGTGATCGTCTAAAAAGATTAGGATTTCCATCCCTCACATACCGTAGACTGAGAGGAGATACAATCAATGTGTACAAGATTATGATTAACTTCTACGATGAAAAAGTAACGTCTGGAAATTTTTTAAACGTGAAACATCATGAAGAAGGAGAGGGCACACACAGAAATTGAAGAAAAAACACTGTTGACTAGATGTTAGTAAATACTCATTTGGTTTAAGAACTATCGATATTTGGAACGGTCTTCCCGAATATGTCATAAATTCAACAACTATAAGAGACATCAAAATCAATTTAGACAAACATTGGCAAAAACCTAGAGCTTAAATACAATCATTTGGCTAGTTACAAACAGATATCTGGAAGAGACAAATATTATCATATATGTACGTTGTAATATTATAAGATATGGATATAGAGGGTTCCAACGCCTGTGTCCATTCCCTTTCCTATTTAAAAAAAAAAAAAAAATCAAAGAAAAAGTATACTTCAGATTCATAAAGGGATATAACTTAACTTACCTGTAGCCCCTTGTCGAAATCCCCTAGGGAGTCATACGTGAGTTGATCCTGGTCAAACAGAATGTCCCACTCTGTGGAGGGTTGACCCCGTGCTATACTGGACAGGTTCTCCTTAATGATTTCCTTGTCCGAATCATCGTCACTTCCTCCTGACAAGAAAACCACACATTACCATCATTCTTGATGATTTTCTAAATTTGTTTTTGGCAAATACAAAGGCACTTCAGTAAACACCTCTCGGTCAATGTCAATAGCACGGTTCATGCCAGCGACCGCCAATAAATAAAATTGCAAAAATGATGATAATTTGGCGATTAAAAATTAGTTTTATTTTTTTGTCACAAAAAAAAATGCAAGTAGTTTTGTTATGCATAGCTGTAATGCAGGTAAAAAATACCTATCTAGCTGCCTAATCCAGGTAAATTCACAGCTCAGTTAACTAATTAGTGTCACACCATTGTTACGATCACTAATCCCCTTTGTGTACTTGTGTTACAGTCTCTTCTTACCTGATGTGATCTCGTTGTTGCCTGAATCTTGATGATCAGATTTCTGAGCATCCTTCTTGCCTACAATTATACAAAAAAAAATAGATAGAAAATTTTATGCAAAAACCAATCTATACCATATACCCTAGCATATCAATTAAATTAATTAAACTGATTTATTTTTTTACAAAAATTATGAAAGATGCTATCACCTTTACTTGGCCTTGATGGAAACTAGTTGGGTTTTAATATTGGAGAAAACAGGAGTATACATGGAGAAATGAATAAGGCATAGTTATATAAATATACATGCATATGCTTTTTTATATTTCAACACATCAAACACTTCAAATTGATTTTATTTTGTTGCAAAACATTTACTTATCATAAGTAACAGTTTGTTTAATTGATAACTCATTGTGAACATTCAAGGTTTGAAAATGCATCTTTTAAAAATTTACAATAGAGTTCCATTCAAACACATTCCATGATGTGCGGTACAGTGCATCATGCAGACTGTCTATATATTTTGTTGTTCTCAGAGGGCCTGTATCGCTCACCTGGATATTTGAGCAATCATAGGGAATATTGTCAAATATTTCCGTATATTGAGTCTCCTTGGGTTAAAAATGTCCCAGACTAAACGAAAATTTATACTACTCTATCCCAGCATGCTACTGGTCAAATATCATCACCAAGGGCCTTCTGGTATTGTTGAAGAAGTATTCACATATTTGACCCTGGGGGGCCCTGTGACCGTGAAAGTAGGTCAATGTCGTTTATTTGAGGAAAACTTATAGCACTCTGTCCCAGGTACCTACTTCCCTAATAGCATAGTTCTAGGCCTCTTGGTTATTCAGAAGCTTCTGTTTAAAGTTTTTTTTACAATGTTGAACCCTGTGACCTTAAAAGTAGGTCTAGGTCATTTATTTGGGGACAATTCATAGCACTTAATGCCAGGTACCTACTGGTACAAGTAATTCTAAAATAAATGCCATTGAGATGAGTTAACAAAATTATTGAATATTAATAATGTTAAAGAATTATGTAATCTAAGAAAGTATTTATATTGTGCTACGAGAAAACGTAGAGAATGCAATGTGTGATATGGAAAACCACTTGTGTACTTTGTAAGCTCACTCTCCACTTCATCAATTTAAATTTGTATAATAATCTCTTGTACATGTATTACATGAGCATGTAATTGTTTGACATTTAACCTATGAGTCGGATAGCTCTCGGAAATAAAGAAACTGAACTGAAACAGAGGCTGTAACATTGTTCACAACTAACAGTGTACAATTCCTTCGTTGACAGTCACAGTGCTGTTTTGTGTAGGCTTGTATGTGGCAAAGGGTTAAACACAATCTGTACTGACCTACTTCACTATCTATGTAAGTTATAATCAGTGTAAGTCTGTCGGTTACCTGTCGCTCCACAGGGAAGTTATTTACTATGTACAACAGGGCAGTTATTTACTAGATCTATGCATTGCAGCAGTGATGGGCGTATCCAACCTACTTTGAGTGAATCTATAAAGGCCTAAATATTTACCATTTTAAGTCCACCATCAATGCAGTCCTGAGTTAAGATACCCCTTTTAATTTTATCTATTTTACTATTCCATAAAAACTCCTATAGTAAACAGTTAAGTTTAGAAAGAAATTTTTATCTGGATTTGGCAGTGAGATAAACAGATGATTAAACTGTGAAATAAGTAATGACTTAATTATGTGGATTTTACCAATTGGAGTTAATATTCTTCTATTCCATGATCTGATGAGTGATTTAAGTTTTGTTATTTTTTTTTATCAAAGTTCAACTTGGGTATCTTACGCAAGTTTACATGAAATTCAATCCCAAGAAGTGTGAAATTTTCTCTACCTCACTGTAAATTTAGTTCTGGAAGGAATTTCTCTGAGCTACACTTCTTGCTACCAATCCATTTCACTTGAGGTTTTGAAATATTCATTTTTAATCCGGATATATTAGCATAAGAGTTAAGTTCTTTAATAGATTCTATAAGTGACCGTTCTGTGCCATCTAGTGCAAGTGATGTATCATCAGCATATTGAGACAAAAGAATCGGACTATTTTATGTCTCAATAAATACAATTGAACCTTCAAGAGAAACAAGAGGCCTAATGGGCTGTATCCCCGACCTGTTATTCAAAGTCACTAGATATATACATCTCCTGTGATCTTGCAATGCAGTAAAATTGAGAAAAAACAAGCTTTAACACTAAACGCTTAAAAGATCATTAAAATATAAATCTCCTGATATTTTATATTTGGTCAAGGTCATTGATTTGGAGCAACACATTATCAAGGCTTACTTCTTGCTAAATAGTATCTACTGTGACCTTAGGTTTTTTAGTAGTACTTTAATAATTATTTACAAATTTAACTCCTGTGGCCTTGAATGTGGGTCAAAGTAATTTTTTGAAACAAACTTGATAATCCTCTATCCAAGCATGCTGAAGACTAATTATCATGATCCTAAGACTACTGGTTTGTGTAAGGTTTTTAAAACGTTTGTCTTTATTTAAACATATTCTATTGTAAATATTTACAAAAGAATTGGACACAAGTTTTATAACTTATCACAGTCTTTTTCTTCAAAATACATGCATATAAACAATTACTCCATATGGCAATTTACGCAAAACATATATAAATTATACTGGCATTTTTATATGGAAATAGTTAGGTGGGAGGAAGAAGAGAAGGAGAGAGACACGAGGAGGGAAAAGTAAGACAGGTAGAGTCAGAGAGAAAATAAGTGAGAAAGAGAAAGGAAGATGATCACATTTGACCCATTTAACCTTGAAAGTGTGTCTGTGTCATTCATTTGAAACAAGAGGCCCAATGGGCCTGCATCGCTCACCTGGTATTAATCTCACACTTATAATCTTAATAGTGGACTAAATAACAGCTCCAGGCAGAATATCAGTGTTTGATTCATAAGAACCTATTTAAAGATTTAAACATATGACGCCTCTGACCTTGAATAAGGACATTAGGTTGAAAGTGGGAAAAGGTCTTTCATTTGAAAAAACTTGGTAGCCCTTCATCCAAGCATGCTACAGGCCTAATTTCAGTACCCTTGGCCTTTTGGTTATCGAGAAGAGGTTGTTTGAAGATTTTAAGACATTTGACCCATGTGACCTTGAAAGTGGGTCAAGGTCATTCAATCGAACAAACTTGGTAGCCCTTCATCCCAGCATGCTACAGGCCCAATATCAGTACCCTCGGCCTTTTGGTTATTGAGAAGAAGTCGTATGAAGATTTTACGACATTTGACCCCTGTGACCTTGGAAGTGGGTCAGGGTTATTCATTTGAACAAACTTGTTAGCCGTTCATCCCAGCATGTTACTGGCCAAATATCATCAGCCTGGGCCTCTTGGTTATTAAGAAGAAGGTGTTTAAAGTAAAAAGTTGACGCCGGACGCCAAGCCGCGGCATAAGCTCACTTGGCCCTTCGGGCCAGGTGAGCTAAAAAAATGATAGCCCTCCATTCCAGCAATTACTACAGAATAAATTTCCCCACAAGCGGGTATATCTTAGTACACAATACACAGGTATATCTAACTACAGTACAGGTATGTCTTATTACCCAATACACAGGTATATCTACCTATAGTACAGGTATGTCTTATTACCCAATACAGGGGTATATCTACCTACAATACAGGTATGTCTTATTACCCAATACAGGGGTATATCTACCCACAGTACAGGTATGTCTTATTACCCAATACACAGGTATGTCTTATTACCAACTACACAGGTATATCTACACATGGTACAAGTATGTCTTCTTACCCGATACACAGGTACATCTACCTACAGTACAGGTATGTCTTAAAACCCAATACACAGATATATCTACCCACAGTCGGGTATGTCTTATTACCCAATACACAGGTATATCTACCCACAGTCGGGCATGTCTTATTACCCATTACACAGGTATAATGACCTACAGTACAGGTATATCTTATTACCCATTACACAGGTATATATACCTACAGTCGGGTATGTCTTATTACCCATTACACAGGGATATCGATCCACAGTACATGTATGTCTTATTACCCAATACACAGGTATATCTACCCACAGTACAGGTATGTATTATAACCCATTACACAGGTATATCGACCTACAGTACAGGTATATCTTATTACCCATTACACAGGTATATCTACCTACAGTCGGGTATGTCTTATTACCCATTACACAGGTATATCTACCTACAGTACAGGAATATCTTATTACCCATTACACAGGTATATCGACCCATAGTACAGGTATGACTTATTACCCATTACACAGGTATATCGACCTACAGTACAGGTATGTCTTATTACCCATTACACAGGTATATCGACCCATAGTACAGGTATGACTTATTACCCATTACACAGGTATATCGACCTACAGTACAGGT